ATTTTCTAAGAGGTGATAAAATTGTTAATTTTTCCTTGAAAAAAAATAAAATTGGTAATTCTTCAATTTAATTTGCAGTACATCGAATAAATCACTTTGCTTCTTGATTTAAAAATATATAATTTTTTATAGAACCTAAAAAACATATTTTAAATTTTACTAAAAGTTGGCAGACAATTCGTATTGAAAATAATTAAGAGACTGAATTATTAAAGATATGGGTGGTCACGATATTTTTCTTTAAATATATAAAATGTATATTTTTTTTATTTCAAGTGCACCCAAAAACGCTGGCCACAGCGTCATCGTCTGCATTTGCCTTTAATTTTTTTTGCGTTGTTTTGGAGTTCTCCCAGCTGCACTTTGTAAATGTCGGGCAAAAGGACTTGGCTCGATGGGCGTGGGCGGTGAGCCAGGATGGCGGGGCGGGGCGTGGCCAAAGAAGGTTTTGCGGCGCCAATGACATTTGGCAATGCATGCGAACGGGTCCTGCGGCGTCCCAAAGATTTCACCTATTCGAAGCCCCATAAATTAAAAGCGGCAGACGGCTGATAAAAACGAAAGTTCTTTGCAGAGCCGCCTTTGCGTTCATTTTATTGATCGCTTGACGTAAAGTTCAACTTATTGAGTGATAGGAAATGTTTACAAATGCGTACAATTGTGGGCCAATCAGTAAATCATATTTATCAGCGATTTCCAACTTGCAGTTCTTCCATTATGAATTTCAGTTGTCCAGAAAGTTTAAATAGTTCATAATATGTTTTTCTATTTCTATGACATTAAACAGTTGGTCTTCGAGTTTTTATATATATAATACATTTTTTCATATTAGAATTTTGAATTTTTGATCATCATCTCTTTTACTTAAGTATATTTAATTTTTGTAATATTTAAGTATTATGAATTCATATAGCTTTCATAGAAAGGATCGAAAATTAGTGTTATAATAACATAAAAACCTTTCGTTTTCGCTAAAACGTATTCGCTTGTAAATTAAAATGGAATATTTGTGTTGTTGTATATATGTTTTATATACGACCATTTTTTTGTTAGAGAGAATCCTTAGCCAACTTTTTTAAACTTAACTAACTTGTTTCCCTCAGTTGTTGCCTAACTAAATCACGTCGATATTACTCTTTAAACTTGCCCAGAAACAAAACCGATTTCCTCTTTAAGATTTAACACCTATCGTAAGGCAAAATAACAAGCTCCCCTCGTACACATAACTCTACGTTTATTGCAGCACCCACATTTCCGTTTCGTGCCTTTTAAATTTGAACCCTAGGCTTTAGAGTCGATTCCATGTTGCTCTTTATGCGGGACAATTTATCAGGCAGGACCCCAAAAAAGAGAGGAAAATGCCAGCCCTCGGAACTATAAAAACACAAATCGTTTGTGTGGAATGCAAAAATAATTTGCAAATCAAAGATTGATGCAGGCACAAAAGGAAAAACTCGTTCCGAATACCGAAAGCCGACCAAAACCCACCGAACATTGCGTATCCGCAGTGTTGTCGTCGCCGTAGTCGAGAGTTGATGACATGACCAACAAATCGTAAATTCGATAAAAGGAAATTAGAAAGAAAGGCATCCCGGGACAGGGACGAGAAAACCGAGGAAAGGAAAGGAGTGCGCGGCAATTTCCATTTGTTTGTCTTCAAGGGGAATTTAATTCAGCTCTGAATAAGAAATTTTCCACAGCCATATGGAAATTGAAATCCGAACCTGCCGCATCGATATTGGCAAATTACGAGGCGTGTAAAGCCATAAATTGATTGTCTCAAGTGTGTTTATGCTTCGCTTCGATTAAGCTGCATCACGTAGCCCAAATTACTCAAGTTTTATCAGTGAATTATGAACGGAGTCTAGACTTTGTCCTCCGACTCGCATTTTAATTATGGCAATTTTCTCTTGATTTGTCCGCACGTTAATTGCCCAACTCCTTGACCGTAATTGAAATTGTTGAGATGTGTGAATTATCTGAAATTATAATCTCTGCTGCCAAGATTCAGATTCCTGTCGATGGCCAATTAAAACTTTATTTATTACAAAGCCATAAGAAAAATGCAGCGCACAATTTCGCAGTTGTCTGAAAAGCCTTGGGCGGCAGCTTTTCAACTTAACGGAAAATTTTCTGAATCACAAGGGAGCCTCAAGATAAAAGAAGCTGGAAAACAAACAAAGCGAAGGTGGAAGGCTGATTTATTTCCTCCCCACCTTCATTGATGTTTTTAATACTTAGGTAAAACATTTTGCTGCGTAATCTTGCGCAGGCACTCGATTAACTTGAAAAACGAAGGATAAAGAAATAATTAAGCGCTAAAAAAAAGGTGTAAGAAAGTTTTACTAAAATTAAAATGTGGGGTTATTGCTAAGACCAAAAGAAACTATGTCATCCAAATTGTTAAATTTTTCATGGATACATTTTAAAAACACTTCGAAATTTTTTTTTTGATTGTAAAAACTACTTTATTTTGCCTAAAAATTTCAGGATACTTATAATTTTTTTCTTCATTTGTATGTAGAAAATCTTTTTAAACTGTCCAAATTAGATAAGTATTCATTCCAAAACGACCCTCCATCTTTTACAAGCAAAAGCCTTTGGGATCGTGAAAATTTACAGCTTTGATAAGTGCAAAATAGTTTGGCACAACAGGGGATATTGGGTATACAGTGTGTAGATGGCCGATAGCAGACACCTACAGCAGAAACCCAGTCATATGGCCCAACACCTATCCATAAAAGATGCCGGGTAGATTTTATTGAGACATTATCAGGCGAAATAAACGGGGACAATTTGCCGAAAATTGGGGACTGGGCCGAGGAGTCGGTTTTATGAATGCCATTTTGACAGGAGATGACAGCAAAAGGCGTTACAAATTGCCGGGCGGGGCGTGGCAATGGGCATAGTTTTTGGCCAGCCCTCGGTCCTGTAATGAATGGAAATGTATGAGCGATAACCAAGCACTCGGAAAAATAATATCTAAATAAATTTAAGGAAAAAAAAACTATAGTTTCAGGTGTATAATACAAATAAACAAATATACTTTTAACCAATAAATCAGTCTAATAAACTCATTCAAAAACTAAAATGTACCAAATTTTCTTAAAATTTAAGCTACTTATATGTATATTTACTCGAAACATTATTATTTTGTTTAGCCAATCAGACTCATTTTGATGCCCTTTTAGTCAAGCTAAATACAATGCCATTCGCTAATTTTAGTTTATTAAATTTCAGTTTATAAAATGCATTGTTTGAAGTGTTTCTGCGTGGGTTTTCGGAATCGACTTTTATGGCTCATAACCCACTGCACTGAAATCGGTGAATGGTGGAATATTTGTGTGCTTCCCCGATTTATCATCTGCAAGGACGCCACTTTATTTGCTCCGCTTGCCTGCCCAATTAATTGGGCAATAAAATGCAAAAACCAAAACAAATTAAATACGAGTAAAAAGTTTGCCCCGCCAAAATATTTGTCGTGGTTAAAGTCGCTGTCTGGTGACACTTCGATCCACAGAGAGCAGGGCCGCAAGTGAAAGAAATTCATAAATAAACATTTGCCCTCTGCAAGCGGAGTGTTTTTTTCCGAACTGAGCCATTAGAAAGTGGCGTTGGGCGGTGGATGGTGCAGGTGGGTGGTTTTTGGGTGGCTTGGGAGGTGTCAAGGGCGCGATAGCCCGTTGACAGCCGGAAAAGCGAATATGGAGTGAGCGACAGGTTTTCCCCCCGCTCTTCCGCTTGCACGTTCGTGTTTATGCAAAATTTAATTTTGAGCATTTACTCAAATATTAGCTGCGAAAAATTCTGCAGTGCTTATTACAGAAAATGGTGAATGGAGCCGCAAAGCTTTAAATTTAACTATTTAACGTTCTTCAACCAGTCACTTTGTATTACAAATTAATAGCTTATACTCAGGGAATATAACTATCTTAGAAAATATAAATATTTTGTTATTCTTATTTGTTTGTTTTTTTTATTTTGTTTTAGCAATATAACAGCATGTACTTTTTTTAAGTTTACAGCAACCTAAATCGCATCTCGTTTAGTACACTTGATTAGAAGGAAATGCTGCTGGCCTTAAAGGCTTTTTATTTGTTTATGATGGGGTACATTTTTACAAATTTTGTGTGTGCAATTTTTTAAAACAGAATAAATTGCCAATTTTTCACACGTATTCTAGTTCAAAAAATAAAATATAAAATAAGGGCTTCTGATTTTTCAGCGATTGTGGTGAAGTAAACTGACAAAGGTCTAAAGGCGGATACCTCGTGAGGTCCCTTTCATAATTTGGAAAACTTGGCTCCTATTTTTTGGGTACGAAAATGTTCGCCTAGTAAATTCTACGGCCAATTTTCAAATTTGCGGCCTAATTGTACTCAATGGTTTCTTGTTGTGTATTTGGAGGTTGTCTTTGCTATGTGAGGAGGGTGTCCCCGCTGAGTCACTGTTATGACTCTGTTAGGTACTAACTTTTCTAGTGATGGTTAAGCATAGATATATGCAAGTCGATAGCATGAAAACTATCGATATTTTTAACGGAAAGGGGTATTCGCTGTGGCGGGAAAGTGTCTTCGCTATAGCGGGAAGGTGTCCTCAATAAGCGGGGGACAGTACGTATGTAAAGCTACAATGGGAGTCATAGGGTGAAATAAGTTCAAATTGTATGTTTTAGAAGAAATTATTTATATTATTTATGGTGGTGTCCAAGTGGCGCTCCACTACCTCTGTTGCGGCCAGGACAGGGCAACCCGGCTCGAGCCTAGACGCTAAGCACCTGCTATACCATAAAGGCCTGGATGTACCGGAGAGGTATTATTATTTATAGATTTTTAACTTTTATAAATAAAGCTTTAAATAACTTTCCAAAGTACGTGGAAAAATTCCGTGAAGTTGCACCGGGCTTGCAGACTGCGGCTGTCCGAAACATATCCAATGATTTTTTTAGTTAAGGATCCGCCTAAAAATAGCTAGATGCGCATCCCCTATACGATAGGCTGCACATCGATATGAGAAGTGAGTGGCACAATTCTCACCACTACTGCTACACTACACTACACTACGCTACCTTCTTCAAAACAAAAGAAAGTTTTGCCCAGCGACATTTTCTTTGGTTTCACTAATTGTAAGTAGTAATTGAATCCTTATAATCTATATCATAATCGGTGACGATCTGCCAGAAGCTCCCATCCCATCCCACAACTACGGCTTCGCAGGGGGAGGCGTCCAGCGCTACGGAGGCGAACGAACGCACACCACTGATGGCTGCTGTCAATCTCCAGGCTTCGTGCTCCTCCGGACTCGCCACCGGGGACGATGCCAATGTGGGCAGCCAGAACGGCGAGGCGGAGCGTTTGGAGCGTCCTCCAAGGCGGCAACAGCAGCGAAACAACTACGGCTCCAGCAATCAGGATCAACCGGATGCGGTGAGTATCGAGTAATCTGTGGGTCTCTGGGAACTACTAACTGACTTTCAAATGGCGTTTTCTGCCAGGCAATACTTGCGGTTCCCAATGTGGTGATGCGGGAACCTGGCGGACAGAGACCTTCAAGACTGACTGCAGGTGGCGGCGGCCCCGGTGGTCCGCCCCCAAATGAACTGGAGGAGGAACAAGGTCTGAAATACGGCGCCCAGCATGTGATCAAGTTATTTGTGCCCGTCTCCCTGTGCATGCTGGTAGTGGTGGCCACCATCAACTCCATCAGCTTCTACAACAGCACGGATGTATATCTGTATGATCAACTGTGATTTCACCACCTCGTGGCATTATTCACTAATGCTTCTTTGCACTCTAGCTTGTACACTCCCTTCCATGAGAAATCACCAGAACCCAGCGTTAAATTCTGGAACGCCTTGGCCAACTCTTTGATTCTGATGAGCGTGGTCGTAGTAATGACAATTCTGCTGATTGTTCTGTATAAGAAACGTTGCTACCGCATCATCCACGGCTGGCTGATTCTCTCCTCCTTTATGCTGTTGTTCATCTTCACGTACTTATATTTGGAGTAAGTGGTAGTGACTAAGAATTCATGAAGTTCATCAATAATATTGTGTTCAATTCAGAGAGCTCCTTCGCGCCTATAACATACCCATGGACTATCCCACTGCCCTGCTAATTATGTGGAACTTTGGAGTGGTCGGAATGATGTCCATTCATTGGCAGGGTCCTTTGCGGTTGCAGCAGGGATATCTTATCTTTGTGGCTGCCCTGATGGCCTTGGTGTTTATCAAATACCTGCCTGAATGGACTGCCTGGGCTGTATTGGCTGCCATTTCTATTTGGGGTGAGTTTGATTAATCTTGAGATTTCTCAATCTATTTATTTGTTTTTCGTTCGTTTATAGATCTCATAGCTGTCCTCTCTCCAAGAGGACCTCTTCGCATATTGGTTGAAACTGCCCAGGAGCGAAATGAACAAATCTTCCCCGCTTTGATCTACTCATGTAATAACGATCCAGTACTTTGAAGAGTATCAATTCGAACAAGTCCCTTTATTCTAGCCACTGTCGTTTACGCACTTGTGGGCACGGTTACGCCACAACAATCACAGGCCACTGGCTCATCATCACCTTCGTCCAGCAACTCCACCACCACCACGAGGGCCACCCAAAACTCGCTGGCTTCGCCGGAGGCAGCCGCGGTTAGTGGCTCACGCTCAGGTAACTCCCATCCTCGACAGAATCAGCGGGATGACGGCAGTGTACTGGCAACTGAAGGTATGCCACTTGTGACTTTTAAAAGCAATTTGCGCGGAAACGGTACATATGCATTATATTTTTTATGATTTACCTACTTCTCTGAAATGTGTACATGGCTTATTTGGCATTTGGTCTGTTTGTTGTACTCTTATGTATTTTTTGTCTTGTTTAGTTGTGTTGGGCATATGGTATAAAGCGCTGCTAGTAGAATATCATCCGAGATAAAGCTGCGAAATTGGCTCTATCAAGTCTATTTCAAGGCATTTTTATAGAGTTTCACCTCTAAAGCTTACGTTTTTGGTTTTCCAGCCGAGGCCGCGGGTTTCACGCAGGAATGGTCCGCAAATTTGAGCGAACGTGTGGCCCGTCGCCAGATTGAGGTACAAAGTACTCAGAGTGGAAACGCCCAGCGTTCTAACGAGTATAGAACAGTCACAGCTCCAGATCAAAATCATCCGGATGGGCAAGAAGAACGTAAGAATCACTAAGTAATCGCGAAACAGTTATCTGATGAATGATTTCTCTTAGGTGGCATCAAACTGGGTCTCGGCGACTTCATCTTCTATTCGGTATTAGTGGGTAAGGCCTCCAGCTACGGCGACTGGACGACCACAATCGCTTGCTTTGTGGCCATCCTGATTGGTCTCTGCCTCACCCTCCTGCTGCTGGCCATTTGGCGCAAGGCCCTGCCCGCCCTGCCCATCTCGATTACCTTTGGATTGATATTCTGCTTCGCCACCAGTGCTGTGGTCAAGCCGTTCATGGAGGATCTATCGGCCAAGCAGGTGTTTATATGAACTAAAAAAAAGAAAAGACAAGGACACATAAAATGTCCCACAGTATCATAGTCTAACAAAGCTTTTTGTAATCCACTTCTTTATTTAACAAAATGCATAGTAACAAACTCGACTAATTATTGCTTGCGCTTGACGATTGTTTTATCCACAATGTTGACCAGCCAGCCGGGCTCCAGGCCATAGAATACTTGCCTGGGGTCCTTGGCAGTGGTGAGCATCTCGTAGGCGGAATCATCTTCAATTTTTGGTAGCTGGTAGCCGTACTTCTGGGCCAGCACCAGTCGATCCTGGCTGATCTCCTCGGGATTGGCCAGGTATCCGCGATTCTTGGGATTCGTGTAGTAGTCGACGGCATCCTGAGGAGGAAGCATGCGGCTGGGGATGGGCACTCCTTTTTCGAACCACTTCTTCGGATTGACCAGCATGTGTAGACTACGAGGATCGTAGTAGGCGGTACGAATCACACCGCCGTTCTTTTCTATGGCTGCTATGACCGCCTCGCTGGCGTGCTGAACCTCAATGTTGATCTTGGCCTGGAAGTTGTCCAGTCCGTCGTCCGTGAGCTGAAATCCGTACTCCATTTCGGCGGGCTTCAGCTTCAAGAGGCCGGAGTTGCACAGCGTGCTGATGTCAACGGGCTGGCTGATGTCTATCCGGTTGGTGTCGATGAGCACCTGTAGTTGGAGCAGCGAAATGGGCGGATACTGGCGCTTCATGTGGTGTCCCTTGTAGTATGGCTCGTATGGGAATCTCAGGTAGAAGGGCTGGTTCCCCGTTTCGTAGCCCAGCCTCATGAAGTTCTGCCGCTGGCCGGATCCCTTGTTGCCCGCTCCGTGCTTGTCTCCGCCGTGCTGCGCCCTGCCACGCTTGTCCTGCCGGCAAATATTTATACTATTAGTAAATAGTTCATAAATGCATGTTGTTATTCAACCACTCACATTTTGTTTTGAGTTGGGATTTGGCCGCAGATTACCGATCTGCACGCGCGGCAACGTGCGCAGCATTTTCAGCGCCTTGTCCGAGGTCTCCCGCAGGTGTGCCATGGCTAAATTGTCTTAATTTATTTAATTAATTTAGTTTTACAGGTGAAAAATAAAATTAAGCACGAGCATACAGTAAGACCACACTTAGTCAGTTTAATAATACCGACCGGTTCAATATTATATACCAGATTTTTGTTTTTTTTCCTACTTGGTATTTTTTATCAGTTTAGCAACGGTCACATCACTGCCAACGCGGAATAAAATAAAACAAATCAGATCCATTTGAAAAACATAAATATTCCTATTATAATAGATCTTATTAACTAAAATTTATCAAGTAGCTTAAGAATGACGTGTGGAGCATGTCGGGGTCACAAGGAGAAGAGTGTGAAGTGCCTTATAGCCGCTTTGGACACGATCAAAGAACACGCTTTGAGTAAGTTCCTGTTTAAAGGATCGACTTTGTCCAGTTTTCATTGATGTTTCGAATATATTACCCTCAGTGATGCACCGGAATTCGGAGGAGAGTGACAGGACCATAGAACAACTAAAGGCGCACAATGAAAAGCTGCACAAGGCCTTGGAGTTGTTGAAGGAGCGACAGGAGTCCATGGTTCAGGCCGAGAAGCGCAGGAAACTGTCGCCCAAGAAGGTCAAAGATGACATATCGCCGCAGCCGCAAAGCCAGAACTCCCTGAACATGAACATAGCCATCAACAGTATCGATCTTTCCGACGAGGATCTGGAAATGGAGGAGGACGAGAGCATTGCGGAAACGGAGTCCACTGCCCAGAGCCCGCGCAAATTGAGGCTACCCGACCGCAAGCCGTGCAAGCAAGACATCCGGAACCGGGAGAATGTGCAGCCAAACAATGTTCCCGCTGTGGCCACCAGTTGGATCCGTAAGACACCCAAGCAACCAGCGGTCTTCACCAAATTATCCCTAACGCACAAAAGTAGTAACGCGCATTTAAAACAAACTCGCCTGAAATTCGAACCAAATAAGACGAGTAACAGCGAAAATGATGTTATAGAGGACAGTCCCAATCTAAGCAATAGCCTCAAAAGATCTCGGCCACAACGATCTCTAATACAAAGGTAATAGTCAATGAAATTTTTAAAAAAGTGTCACAGACTATAGTAATTATTTCTGTTTGTACAAAAGATTTTTAAAGATTACTGTGACACTTTTTGTTATCATTCTTTCTAATATTAAATGCCAAGCTTGCAGAACAGACACCGCGAGCGTTTCAAACGCAGACGACTCGCTTACCACCAGCAGCAGTAGCAGTAGCAAAATTCCCAAGGATAGTTTTGAGATGGACATGGACGAGTTCAATATGGAGTGCTCAGAGCTTCCTGTAATGCCGCCACCGGGCACACCTCCAGGTTTAAGAATCAACAGCACATCGGATAGTGTTGTTCTGTTGACTCCTGGCACCCAGGATATAATTTTCGTTAATGATACCATCGATGAAGTAAGCAAATTGGGCACCATGGATGTTCTGGCCGAAATTATGAAGGACGACGACGAAACCTGCTCGAATGCTTTGAGACAGTTCGAAAAAAAAATGATTGATAAGCAGAAGCACATCCAACCGAACGCCGCAAAAGTAGAGATCACTATTCCAATTACCAGAGTTGTGAAGACAGAACCTGTCTCCCAACCAGAAACAGATGTTGGCAATGAATCAACGAAACTCCCTGAGGATATTGAGCAGCATCTTATGGACAATGAAGATGAGGATAGTAAGGCCTCAGAGGAAGAGTTTCCGAGACCGATTTTGGTCAAAAAGGAACCTGAATTGACGGCCAAAGAACGTTTCAACATTGAGTGTGAGGAGTGCGAAAAGGTATGTGCCAATTATTAATTTTTTTAATATCCATAAATTGTACCCACTTATCCCCCTTCAGTTCATTAATTTCATGGGTTCAAACCTGACTGACGAGAAGATTGAAGACTATTTGTCCAAGTGCAAGCACGTGGACGCACGAAGTTCGACGCCACCGGGATTCTGGAATCCCCTAATGGTTTCTTTCGCCGAAGGCGATCCACGCAATGAGGTTTTGATAGACACTCGGTTCAGGAACCAGCGACTAAACAAATGACATTTAGGCAATCATTTTTTCATTAGTTATTCTGTTTAGACCATTTCATTTATTATGTTTGTAAATTGGTACATCTTTGATTTACAAGTTACCACGCTTGGCCTGCTCAATTTCGATGGCCGTAAACAAGGACTTAAAGTTGCCAGCGCCGAAACCCTGAAACAGTTATGATTATTAATGACTTTTCTTAGCAATAATAGTTTAAGCAATAAATCTTACATTGTGATTATAACGTTGGATTACTTCAAGGAAGAGAGTGGGCCTATCCTGGCAGTTCTTCGTAAAGATCTGCAACAGGTATCCGTTCTCATCGAAGTCAATCAAAATGTTCAACTTCTTGAGGACCTCCATGTCCTCCTTGATCTTGGTGCGACTATGCGAAAGCTGCTCCTGCAGGAGTTCGTAGTACGAGGACGGGATGGCCAGGAACTCGGTGCCCCGAGCCTTAAGGTTGCTCACCGCTTGGATGATGTCATCGGTGTTGAGAGCAATGTGCTGGACACCACCTCCTCCGTAGTATTCTACGTACTCCTGGATCTGTGACTTCTTCTTTCCATTGGCCGGCTCATTGATCGGCATTTTCACCGTCTCTTCGTAGTTCGCCATCACAATGGATCGAAGGGCGGAGTACTCCGTATGGATCTGGGAGTCGTCCACCGACCAGAATCGATGGAATTGCAAGATCCTCTCGTACCAGGAGGCCACGCTCTCCATTTGCAGATCCGGCTGGTTGCCCACCACATGATCAATGAAGTTCAATTTGGTGGAGGGCAGGCCCTTCAGTAAAACATCCTCAGACGACCGCTGGAATCCTGGTAAGAAGTCCCCAGCATAACCATTTCGCTCCACGAAAGTATGGGTGGTATCCCCGTACTGCATAAAAGGTTTAAAAAATTAAATATTCAGAATTTAAGAAAATCTTTTTTCATTCCCTACCGTCTTGATGGTAGCGAATTTTACGAAGCCCTGGTCATCGCTCTCCTCCCAGATGTCACGAACCACTTCGGCTCCACGGGACACCGCCAGCGTAAAGATGGCATTCAAATCCTCCACTTCGAAGGCTACATCCTTGACACCGTCGCCATGGCGCATCAGGTGGAGTCCATGTTCCTTGTCATCCGGCGTGTAGGCGGAGACGAACACAAAGACGATCTTGTTCTGACGCACGGCATGCTTGGCGAAGCGTCGTTCTCCGGTCTCTAGTCCCTGATAACCAAGTGGTTCAAAGCCCAGACGAGTTGTATAATAGCTGGCCGCCTGTTTGGCGTTGCCAACGTAGAAAGTCAAGTGATCAAAGCTTAAAAATTTGCCGGCTTCAGGCTGAAATTATAAAAGAAAATCACTTAGGATCTTATTATATAACATTTTTTGTCATTTAGTACTTACTTTGGTTCCTTTGTCAGTATAGCTGGTCTATTGGCAAAAGTAAAAAATTAAAATAGGTATTAGAACATTAAAAATTTTTGATAACAAAATATCTTCAAATTAAATTTGCAAAAAGAAGATCAAAGTTTACACAACACGAGAGTTCTTCTTCGCCTTTTCACCTTCTAAACAACATTTTTATAAAGTTTATATATTTGTTATATATATGTTATTATACACTTTTTACTCTTCCTATTTATTTAATTTTAAAATAGTTGGACACGATTTCGATATTACATAACACTTGGCACATGTTTCAATTCCTTTACCATTATCACTCAGACTCAATTTATGCAAATCCTCTCCTCACACGCGATATAGATTTCTACGTTCCGTTGATCTTACACGATCTTCTAGTTGGTTATGGCCTGAGCTAAGCCAATCGGCCGCTTTATATAGGGCCCACAGCCTCGGTCAGGTGAAAATCCTGTACTAATTTAAATAAAAGCCAAACTAGTATTTTGTTTATATCAAATGCTATATATATCGGAATATCTTAAGTAGCTGGTTGTTGCTCGCATATTTTAACTGAACTTGCAGAAATTTGTTTACTGAAACAGGTGGATTACTTAATTAAAGCAATCGGGTAGAATGAATTGCGATTTTGTAACTTGGGACGGGCATTCGAAGTGTTTACTTCTTATCATTGCGGCTTTTCAGAAGTTTTTAGTGCCGAAATTTCCCTTCCTTAAGACCGTTACACGAAAATATCGCCAGTCATTATGCGAAATGTTTGTGCCCATGTCAGAATACGCCTAAATATTCATGAGGCGGGGTCTAGTTTGCTCGAAGATCGGTTGCCAAGTCAAGTCGCATTGAACTTGATTCAAGTTGCGAGCCCCCAAAATCGCAAAAGGCAAACAGAGTGTTAATGCTATCTCGATTGTTATTGTTCCCGTGCACAATGTGTATCGTTGTCGTTATTGAAGTTGTTTTGCATTAGAATCGCTTTGAATATTTTTCAAAACAAATCTGCGAAAACTGGTTAACAAAGTAGCTTGTTGTTATTATTTAATAACCCGGCACACGATACACATAAATAACATATTTTGATGATTGCCTTAAATCGACAAATAATTGCTGGAATAATGTATTTTAAAGACCTTTCGTAAAAGGATTTGAAAGCATTAAGTTTGTTATTCTTTCTTTATTTTTGGGATTGCTTGATTAAGATGTATTTTAATTAAAAAAGACTGGTTTTCTGGACTGAAATGCGACTTGAATTATAAAGTAGGAATTAAATTATGGAAGTTCTGCTCTTTTTGTAGAACTATTTTTGATTTTTTGCCCTTTTTGAATAAGAAAGAGCATTTTCAACATCAATTTTTTTATATTTATTTAGAATTTTTATTAAAATTGAATAATCAGAAATTGAACATTCCTTACACTTTATTAGAATATTTTCATATCCATTTTCTATTCCATTCCAAATAAACATGTGATTTTATTATAGATCCTATTATTAAGTTATTCACTTACCCAATAGTTTTTTGGGATAGGGCAGTTCTCTTTATCATTTTGATTGACGATTTGTGTCAGGTGTTTGGCAACATGCGACAAGCCAATAAATTAATAGTTTTCGTAGGTCTGTGGGCCGTTTTAGAGGGCTGAACACATGGCGTATGAGCAATTCAGGCAGCTAGGCAGTAATGATTAGCCCTAGACAAAGTCTCCCCAGCTGCTGGCGACCAACTCATGATAAACTGACAGTCCGAACGGGGTGGTGGAAACAGGGAACATGGGTGGAGGACTACGATATGGTCGATTGGTCATTGGCAAGAAGCCAAATCGATGCTTGACATTTATTATGATTGGCTTATTAGGGCGCTGCAGAGGCGATAACCTGACAAAAGTGGCGCTGGTTGGGAAAAACACTTGTCGCCAAATTGATCCAGATGTTGAAGTGATATAAAACCATATGGCCTTAATTTAAGTAAACTATTAGTTTTACTAAATTCTTATATCTAATTACATTTTTGTTACTTGTAGGTGAAACAATTTTATAAAAATGTACAAACGAAATCAATTCTCGAATTCAGTTAAACTCTAACGTCTTTTCGCATCATTAATGCTTTTATCGTCCTCATAAATATCAGAGATTCCTATTTGTTTTTTCAACACCAGGCCTCTCCTTGGGTTCCATTAGTCAAGGAATCTGACGCACACCTTAGGACCTATCCCAATAAAAATCCCCCCCCCCCCCTTTTTTTTCTCCACTGAGTTGCCATTAGCTGAGCAAACTTTTGTCCTTGGCAAAAAGAACGGTACTTCGCTCATCGTGGGTTTGTTTTGGGTTTGGTGTGGGTAGCCTGTTGCTCTATGGAGGATTATATTTCCACGGTTCTCCCGCGACCCTTTTCTTCTCTGTTTTCTCTGCCGGGAGCAGTAACGCTCTCTTTGGGTTGGCACGGCATTGCCAGCAGGGAAAGTTTCTCTTTTGGGGGTTGCTTTCTAAAAGGACGATTCCCAGACAGAACGATGTGAGTCTCTATTGTTGTCGTCAGTAACTTCGAAGGTGGTGTACAGAAAACAATTATATGATACCAAAGTTATAAGATTCATCTTAAGGAATTATATAGTTTCAGTCTCTCAAAGTAGTTCTTGCATGTTTTATTTTCCTAAGATCTCTTGATTAATTAGTAAGTTTAAAAAGTGGTTTTTCATGTTGAAGTCTTTAGATTTCTAGTAAAGCTAATACTTTTGAAATTGATTATTCATATTTATATTATTACTATTTATTATTAAAATTATAATTGAAGGCTTCACTTGGGAAATGAATCTTTAAACTATTTGAAATGCTCTTCATTGGTAGACTTTTTACCCTAATAACGGATATTGCAAAAATGTTAGCTCTTTTTTTGGAATAAAACCAATTTTAAATTATTTGTTTTGAAAATATTTTTTTACAGTGTTGTGTTATTGTCCTTGTTGTGGTGGTGGTTGTTGTTGTTGCCATAGCCGCAAGCTGTCGCCGGTCTACGTCACGCTTTCTATCCTTCAGTCGCGTTTGCAACTGCGCCGCCTAAACAACAAGCTAAATAACAAGAGTCGCAGTAAAAAGTAATAGAACGAATTCCCAACTGTGTAACTACTCCAAAATTATCTAATTCGATTGTTTTTAATTCATGAAACTGAAATTGCAACCACAAAAAAATCAAACGTACTTGAACTGTCTCTAGTGTTTTTGTACAAACCAAAAATCATTTGTCGCCATTCTCCACTTTTCGTCCCAAACATTGTTTTTTTGTAGTTGTGAAAATTTATGTTCAACTTTTTTAAATATTGACAAATTGGTGCGTCTCGTTGTGCGATTAAAGTCTTAATGTTTGAAAAAAAGAGAAAAAACAACACCAAATGGTTGGCCCCGAAACAAAGCGGACAATATTCGAGACTAAAAATCCCCCAAAGCATGACAAAAAAATTTTAAACGTTACAACATAAATTATCCGAACGAATACGCTCTGAAAACATTCTCTAGTTAGTGGTTTAAAAATAGTTCATATATGTTATTTTTGCGATTTTGTTGATTGATTATTCAGTGTGAAAATGATCATAAAGCCTTAAAACCACTTGGAACAAGTTCAGTGCTAACAAAAATGTAAGTTTGTGGAGAGGGATTACAGTTTTAGAGGCCGCGCCGAAACTAGTTTCTGTTGAAAATGAGAACAGTGTTCTTTGTAAACTTATTCTCTTGTAGGATATCTCTCTTGCCTTCTCCCCTACCATAAAGGATTTTATTCTCGGGGTGTTTCTTCGCTAACAAGGGTTACGAAACTCTAAAGACCGCATGCGCGACCATTTCTTGGAGGGTAGGTGAGATTTTGAATATTTTAATTTCTAAGCAGATGTTTTTTTTTAAGGTAGGTCGGTTTTTTATTTAATATTTTTACAAAATATCTTCTTTAAAAATGTTTCATTTGGAGTAAAATAAACATTTTTAAGCTATCCAGTTGGCATAATTATCTGATAGCCTTAAAACAGGCAAAACTAAATGTTATGATCAGTAATATTTCTATTTACTTCTGATAAACTCATAACGGTTGTTTATGTTGTCAATAAAATCAGTCTTATATAGTGTTGATGAAGATAATCACAATCAAAACCTTTTTATCAAGCTCTTTGCTTGAGACAGTGGCGTATTCAGCATTTGTTCAGAGGGTTTTCAGAACATGTTTTTTTGTTGCATACATTTTGAATACCACATTTTCTTGTACTTTTTACCCGAGTGGGGGGTATATCACCCAAATCCCCTCCGTGAATCCGCGCATGGCTTGAAGTAAATCCAAATATTTACATGCAAATTTGGGAATTTAATTCGGCTCGCGTGCTAAAACTCAATCGGAAAGCTTCGACAGAATCATTTTCCATTACCTGGCAGATAGTCGCGCCCTTTGTGTGGCCACTTAGAGAGAGGGGAAGTGGCCCATTAAAGCCATAAAAACATTACCAGGGGGAGGTACGAGTATTCTCAGCATGATTCACTTTCACCTTGACACGCTTTCCCCGGCTCCCTTCACTTGCCGCGATATCCTTTACTATGCGGTGGATGGTATTAAGTTCTTTAAGCCAGATGCCGTCATATAAATGATATTTTTATACAGTCGAGATATTTACACGCGGAATTATGCATTTAAGCATGCTGTGGTAGCTGAAACCACATCAAGCGAAAAGCATTGGGAAAATACAATAACCGCCCACAGGTCTTGAGCCCAGAAGAATTTAATAGTCTTGGGGTAGTTCTAGAAAGTAAGTCCATAAAATGATGCTTTCTGAACAAAAAAAGTGGCGGGATGGGCTGTCCAGATTTACGATTTTGGATGGAGAAGCAGGTTGCAGTTATACAAATAAACGAATGATTCGAATAGGAACCAAATGAAAACTTCCTAGCCACCTCGTTTATGTGAGTTTCCATTTTATTTTTAAAACACAAAATTATGAAGCCCAGGGAAAATTACACATGCATATATCTTTGCCTAGGTATAGAGATGCAGATATATCTATTTTAAAGGGATCGTTCCGGGGCATTTAGGTGGGCATAAATTATAAAAATATTTCAATGTGTGTCAGATATTGTTTGTTCGGTATGCCAAGGTATATGTTTGTTGTTTATTTTTTTTTCTGGAAAGGGAAATGGTTCTGCTTCATTTTGAACAAATTACTGGGGCTTATAAAGAGCCATATTATTAATGAGGCATCATTTTTGAGGGTATTTGATTAAATGCCTGTTGATAGCTGGCGATAATCACTGGGAAGTGTGAATTGAGCGAAGGGTTATTGTTTATCAGGTGGTAAGTGTGGTCTAAGTGCTTTATTATGGGTTACATCATTATTGTAGGTTATATATCTCTGTCTTTTTACACTTATATTTAATAGATGACAATTATTAGTCATGGTTATACCATTGGTTTTTTTATGTCATCTTAGTATTTAACCAACAAGAACGATCCCCGTGCAGTCTTCATACCTAAGAGGATTATGCCTTTAAATGCAACTGCTTTGCGGCATTTGCTTTTCTTCAAGTCGAGGGGCTTCCAACTGGCGATCGGGCGTAAGAGTTCCACGAAGCGAATACTCGTGCTACCCGGCATTTCCTATAACACCGCACAGTAAAAAATATACAATTAAAAAAACTGCTCACAAATGCATTAGAAAAGTCTTAAAATATATTATTTAAAATATATGTATTTCTATAGTTTCATAATGCTTTTTTTAATTTCTGTTATCAGCAAGTGTTTCTAGGCCATACCAGCATATTAGACTTAAAAAATTACCTTATAATAATTTGACGGATATACTGCCAGTTTGGCCCACTGTGCGCCGCGCTGCCGCAGTGGAGAAGTCAGTGCGAGTTGCTCAGAACGAATTTGCATAGGCTGGGAATCGGACGTGTGGCCGTCGATCTTGATGCGAAACCATCGCAGCGGTACGACAAATATTATTTCGTTCACTCCGCCTCCTCACGTGCGTGTGAGATATTTGTAACTTTAATTTATGGGATGCGCTGAGTGAGTCGCCGGCCAGCTTCTTAATAAATTATTCCCGAGAATACCATGCATTTTTTGTGGAAGAATAATATCAACATAATACTAAAGCAATTTATCGGCAACCCAGAGAGATGAAAGGGGAAGATTTGTGTAATAATTTGTGGATATGTGGAAATGGTTTATTTCGAGTTTGAATTTCTAAAATGCCGATATGTTCGCCCAAGAACATAATAAAAAAGTGTTAAGAAAAGAAATGAAATTATAAATGGCCATTGAAATTTATACTATAACTGTTACAATTCAAATTTCCACAAATAACTCTTTTAGAGTTTTTCGAAATATTTAGGAACAAATTAAATAAAATACGTAAAATGTCACAACAAGTCGTCCATTATGTAAAAAGTGATAAAGTGTAAAAAAAATTGCAATTTTTTTGCATCTGTGAGAAAATTGGCCTACATAACCAACTCAAGATCCCTGCCACATCAAATTACACCAGTCAAAAGGAAAACGATAAAAATTGTTTGACAATACAGAAATGCCATTAAACCAATCAGCTGTAAAGTGAATTAGACAAAAGTTGTTCGTGTGGAAAGCATATAGAATCAGAGCCCATATATGCGATTGGAATCTTTAGTCCGATCACGACCGCATTTTAGACATACTATAGTCTTGCCCGATCTCTCTAAATCTCAATCTCCGCATCCGTGTGACTTACAGATCGTATTCGATTGCTGCGACCGCAAACGACGCACAAACTAAACCGAAATAAAACACCACACCAATAAAATCCAGCTAATTAATGTGATAATTGTGCACAATAAAATGATCGAAATCGGAGGACCTGGCGCGATGTGGAGCGAATTGGAATGCAGTGGACTTGCCATAGAGAATTGCCAGTGCTCCAGATTACAGCGTTCGTCTCAAAGATCCACCGATAAACCCTTAATCCCAAGGGTCAGCCTGCGTTATCAGCCATCAGCGGTCATTCCCTCATTCCTGGCCATCGGAATTGTGCTAACGATCTGTTTAGGATCCGCCCTCGGTGCTCCACAATCCTCCTGCATCATGTGCGACAAGGAGGACCTGCGTCCACGAGTCCCACCGTATACCGACAGTTACGAGGAGTACACCTTCGACCACCAGGTGACCCAGCAAGCGGCCATCGAGTCCATGCTGAAACTCAATGGGAGTAAGTTATAAACACATTTTTCAAACCTAAATTTGATTTAAAATATTTACAATTCACCTTTTATTGTTTAACATACCAAACCAATAATTTTAAATATTAAAGCATGAAACATTTAAGTTTAAACTTAAGTCGACAAAAAAAGTTAAATATCTAAAATGAAATGTAATTTATAAATTGTAAATATTTAAATTTTAAGACAGTTTCCTTGAGATAAAGTAAAGGCATAAATTAAAAAAGATAAACCTTACGTCAATTCTGTTTGTTTAACGAAAAGTATTTTTGCTAAATTTGTTGTATTTTCTGTTTGTGTAGCAAAAGGTCAGAACAACGCCTGCAGTTCAATCAAGTGCCCTTCGAATACACCGAAATATTGCCTAGGACATCAGGTAAACATTGATAATAAAAAAAACATTAAAAAGGTATATTTTAAATAATTCCGTTCACAGTTTATCAACGATCATTGTTGGTGCGAACTGCAACATCGAGAAGGTAAGGAACAGCTTAAAAATATAAGCAATTTATTTATATTTTAAGAAGTAGTATATACGAGTATTTTGGTTCAATTAGTATTTCTAGTGTTAATTTTCTGATGGTATATTAAAATCAGCATCTTCCAGATCTGTAAAATTGTTTGGTCCTTTCAAGCTCCAAAGTTCTGGTAGTGTACTTATTCACCTAGGTTGATATTTATGACTTGCCGCATGAGTCTCAGCAGATGGCGCCAAACAATAATAAACAAACCTCTGCAACTTCTCCGCAGCAGCACACTCCCACAGTAAACACACAAAATAAAGACGTGCCACTAACCCACTTGCAACGCTGTGCCACAGTCAACTCTCTAAAGAGCCTCATTAGCTCATTTTGTCCGATTCAGAGGCCCTTTACAAGCGGCACTCACGCAAATTACTGGTTATAGTACAATCCGTCAATGACGCAACAGTTGGCTCTCCAAGAAAAGGCCACAGAACTATCCCATGGTCGTAAATGTGGCGGATACTTATTCTGCGGGCTGCTCTCTTCCACTTGGCACGTGATGCGGCACGGAAGTTGTTAAGTCTGGTCCACTGATTGAACCGCACTCTAATGCTGCGACACGCTTCATTGCCTCGACGTGCAACCACAACAGTGAAGCCTCTCTGGAAACCTTTTCAATATTCCAAATTGTTTTTCTCAGCGCAATTTGATCTCAAGAAACTGAAATACCATTTTCTTAAAATTGTTTTTAGATGATCTTAAGATTTAAGTGTTCAGATCTGTCAGATCTCATAAATTTAAAAAATTTAAAAAATAAGTTATGTATTTTCTAAAATTTTATGCTTGAACATTTAGGGCAAAAAAAACTTCCTTTAAACTTTCCTATAAAACAAAGTGGCTTCCACTTTAGACTCTAAATACAACTCTATACAAAAAATCATATAGAACTAAAAACGGAACATTTTAATAAAAGTCGTAGATTTATAAATACCTACTTATATCTAATTTTCCTTCATCAGTATACACTGTAATTAGATTTCTAAGGCATTTCCAATGTCCAAGCGTCAGTTTATAATTCTTCCAGTGGCTTTTTTTTGTTCAAATTTTCGACTTGTCGATGTGCATTCCGCCTTGATGGGGGAATTTTTGTGGGTTCGGCGCTTGGGTTGTCCACAGTTGAATGATTTTCTTCAAGGCGCCCAGTTTTCCATGCCCCTGTAGTTTTCCTTTTTGAATGCACCCGCCTCTGAATCCAATTGTTTTGTGTGGGCCACTCATTAAATTTAATTTTGTTAATTTCACTTTACTTAATATTGGATAATTATTCGTTTAAGTTGCCTGATGAGGCCATTGGGGCCTTTTCAGTAAATAATGCAGTTGAACAAATATTTTTTGATTAAATACAAATATGGGTATATAAAACCGGGTTCAGAGAATCGCTATCTCGAAGATAAGGAATACCTTAAGTATCAGACCCCTTTTCATGTGTTTTTAAACACTTTACTTGGTCCTCAGCCTTGTTATGAGGCCTTTAAAATGTGAGTAGTTCAAACTGAATTTCGTAACCCCCTTCTGGAAACAGTTCTCAACTTTTATCACGGTTCAAAATCTCGAGCACTGCAGATAACAAATACTCTGACTGTTTCCAATGCAAGTATTTGCTCACTGGTTAAATATTATATTACTATTGACTCAACATTTTTTTGCGACTGACGAGTTTCCTTTAGTATGCTGTAGGCGATTCCTACTACCGGCAACAAATCCAATCGATAAGGAACGTGCCTGAATTAACAATCGGAAAACACCTGCAGAGGCATCTGGGTGGGTGGCTATACCAGTACTTTTCGATGGCCATTTTTAGGTGCCGCTTATAGCGCCCAATTCAAATATTTCCATAATTTTACGCTTTTAAATTGGACAGCAATTTCGCTGTTTTTTTATATTTCCACGCCGAAACTTGCAAATTAAATCTATTAATAATTTCCATAGTTAGGGAAATGTTCACCGAGGAAATGTGATTCATAACAGCTTTGAAAATAATCGCGATTTACTTTTCCTTGATAACCACATTTTTTGTTGCCTCGCATAATCAATCACACTTACTTTAGATTTTCTTTTTCAACAATCTGTCGATTTGCATTTATACGTCCTCGGCTTGTCAGACGTCGCTAAAGATTATTAACAATTGCGAGAGCAGCCACTAAATTGACCTAACATTTTACACGCTGAGCTCGTGTCTGTTTACATTAACTAATAATTATTTAATTGCATAAATATCTGCGACACGCACCATCAAAAACTACTAGATATTCACTGTGTGGGCCTTTCTATGTTCCTAAAAATGTAGACATGGAACTTCATAAAATTCAACACGTTGAGCTTTTGTAAACAAATGGGCATCTATAAACAGGCCAAACGAAAAATAATACAGGCATATGTTATGATCCGATCGAAAAACAATGCCGTTCACATTTAGTCATACGCCGCAGTTTATATTTTCTTAAAAATTATTGTGCCTTTTTCGTGCGCAGCTCCTAATAAACATATTCTATTTTATTGGTTTCCGTTTCTACTCAAATCGCAAAAGTTCCATAAATTGTATATTTAAATTAAGTGGTTTCTATTATAAAAAGTTAAGCACTTGATTTCAAAATGGGGGCAACACATTGGATATTTTAAAAATTGTTCTCATTTTTCAAGTAAACTCAGCAACACAAATATTCAATATTAATAGTTGTGTGAATGGCATAGGCAGCTGGAAACTTAAAATTTAAATTCTAAAGATAAGGTCAAATAACTTAATCAATTTCGAGAATGAATGCTCGTCGATTTGTGATTTAATTTAGATCTGAACCAATTTGAAAATTAAGAAACCCTATCGATCTTTAGGTAAATATTAATACACATCCTAAAAAGTAAGAATTAATGCCTAAAACAATTTATAACTCATAGTAAATAAAATATATTCAATGTTCTACCCAAAAAAATTTCATTTTGCTAATTGACTAATTTAAAAAGTGTATTTTGACTTTCTATTATTTTCCAGAGGGCCTGCCTTATGTACCTCACGTTTGCTTTGCGGATCAGAAGGTGCACACATCCTCCGTAGATTCCTGTTTCACATTCGTGCAGGTCAAGGAGTGCTGCTGCGCTGAGATCTGGTTCAAAAAGTGTAAGTACCATTTTCGTTTACTCGTAGTCATCGCATCTGGAACCACAATACCCATGCTAAATGCCCATGCTACTCACACATGAGGAGGGATTAACAAAGCAATGCTAATTTAATAACGTAAATATACCCATTCGATGATTCTGTTTTCACACGGCGCCTTCGATAAACATGCACATACCAGAAATATCAGCAACAATGGCCGAGAGATCATGTCAATATCATCCGCTGGCAGAAAATCGAACCATGCTAATTATATTTAGTTTATAATGCTAATTGAAATCGCTCACACCGAATTTGCCGTTGGGCGTCAAAAGAGAGCTCTAAATCATAAAATACAACAACACATTTTTAAAGCCTCTAAAATATGGCTAACTATTAATTTGAAAAGGGCAATTATCCTTGGTTGTATATTATCATTGTGAGTAGTTTATACCAAGAAACTGTTTAGCAGCTTCTCATAATAAACATTACACTTTGGCCAAATGGAGAGCTAGCTCATAAATACATATGAGAAAAGCTGGAAAAACAAAAAGCAACATTCCTTTTTATGAATAATTTACAGCAACGCATTATTAATCCAATTGCACTACGATTACTCAGCCAAGTGGAAAATAAAGTAATAATTTAACCTGCGTTTTTTCCTGCTATTTTCAGGGCGACACATTTCCGGCAGCTCTCGGAGCCAGCACATACCAAAAATATTAGTACACCTGCTTCCAGCACTCAGTGTTCTGCACTGGATAAGTAGAAGACGGACATTTTGTTAAAGTTGGGATGTCAGGAGCGAAGTCATCATGTGAAAGCTGTACAACATAGTCATAGCGAAGTAGGATCTAGCCGTAAAAGAATTCTAATAAGTGTACTTAGTTCAAACAATGTCCAATGGTAATCAAACCTACTTGCTAAGCATATATTTAAGCGTTAATAAATACAAGTTTATAAAGCTAACCGACTTTAGTTAGCGAGTGGCTTAGATCACTAAATAAAGAAGCTGTAATTGCTTACGTGCATTTTAAATAGGACAACATATCGAGGAACAAAATTAAAAATAGTTTATAACACATGCTGCGCCAAATATCGTTCGCTTAGTTGCTAAATTTCGGCTTATTTTCTAGATTCGGTCCACTAAACCTCGAGTTCAGCAAGTCGGCCTTAAAAGTCTATAGTCTCCACGGTGTTCATAGGCTGGTACGGTTGTTAAGCGTACGTTGCAAGGCATTCACACAGGACAGCACGTCTTCGTAGTCCTTGGACCATTCGCGCAAATTGCGTTCCAGTGCCTCTAGTCGCGATTGTCCCAAACGCATTCCGCCGTGCTTAATGGCCGCATAGCAGGAGCAGGCCAAAAGCTTGAAGCACTGCCGTCGCACCGCGTTGTGTGCGTGGCTCTCCCAGTTGGGCGTGCTGGCCACACACTGCCAGGCCACGGTGACGTAGTCAACGAGGGCGTCCCAGTGGGTGGAGTCGTGCAGCCGCTTGGCCTGCGACTGCAGCACCCGCTTAAATTCGTTGAGATGCATCGACGCCTTGGAGTAGGCAGCAGCATCGGTCTTCTTGCACAGCCGAGAGGTGGGAAGGGATTTGAATATGAGCCGCTTGGCATGGTAAAGCTCCTGCTCAAGGGAACTGAAAGCAAGAAAAGAGTGATTATATATATATGTCTGTTTAAAAGCTTTGAAACATTGTTTCTTGTCGACATGCAAAAATAAAACTTAGCTCCCAAATCTTCTCTATATGACTTTCAGGAAAAGATTTATCAAAGAGGATTTTCATAAAAACCGCGAAGTGCTTATTAAAGTGTTTAACAAATTACTTCCCCTCTAGCCCAATACATTCTCAGAAAACTCTGTGGAAACTCACCTAATATCTGGCGTGGGCAGCTGCCGTCTAATCTCCCCCTCATCAGTGGCACTCTTGAGGTTGTTCATGATCAATTCGATTAGCTGTTCCTGGGACAGACCCTGCAACAGAGAAGGTAGCGTGGCATCGGTGTTCGTCTGCCCCACCGGTCGGTCTTCCATCTTCAGCTTCTTAACTATGGGTGTTCCCGGCCAGAGTTGCTTGGTGGTGGCCATCTTTATGGGCGAATAGGTATCCATGGGCGTGGGCTCTGGTGGGGTGCTGCCCATGGTCAGCCGCTTGCGTGGAGAGCTGCGCAGGATCATGCCGCTGGTCAATTGCAGGTTCTTGGTGGGGGTACGCTGGAAGGGACTACGCATGGAGGAACCACCAGAGGCCCCTCCGCCTCCATTGACCTTATCCGGCGAAAATGTGGTGGTGAAGCGCCGACGACCGCGTTGCCGGATGACTAGTTCATCCGGCGAGGGCAACGGCGAGAAGACAAAGTCCTGCGCCTGCACGACATTCACATCATTGTCCACTCGCAAGCCCAATCCTCCATTGGCGTTCGGCGTGTTTATTATGGCCGCCGGAGTCGGCTCGTCCGGAGTCCTCCGATTGGCGTTCGTCGGGGTGTTGGCCATGCGCAGCGCCTCCAGACGGTCCGGAATCTCGGCCAGCGCCATTCTCGTCTGCAGCGGGGTCGTCATTGCGATTCCAAATTCCAATGCGGGCTGCGGGGAAACAAATCACATACGCATCAGATCAGATTCAGGGATTGTATAAACATTTTCACGCCGCCCTGCACCTGACGTACCACTTGGATGCTTCGCTATATCTTCGCAGCAGAGTCAGCGATCTTGGCGCGGGCTGGGGATATATCTTCCTGGCAGTCGGATTTCTTCGGGTTTTACTTTTGGCGTCCCTCCCGCGAATGCAATTGCGATTTTTTCCTTATTTTTGTTTAAATTGCGCCAATTCGCTCAAGGTGGCAGCGCGCTCTGAAGATGTGACTTGTGACCCGATACTATCGCAAACGAAGCGATATTGCACACACATTTGTATACCCTTTCCACGAGTTTTAAGGAATTACATTGTGATAAAATTACCTATGTTTTTGTAGCACCATTAATTTCATTTAGTTGTAAAAGTTATTTAAGTTTTTTATATTGATTTTCAGCGCATCTCAGTTTTTCATTTATAAAATATTTGTAATTAGATTCTTTTAGGTACTTTCAAATTTTTAAAATGTATTCCCTTTTGTATTGAGTCATGCCATTTTAAGACCACTTAAAAAGAATAAAATCTTAATTTAACCAATTTTATTTTTAACGATAGTTTGTCTTGACCAACCGGTCAAAACGTCTGGCAGCCCTTTAACATTGGCAACTACATGGCCATCCGGCAACCTTCTGTCTTCTTTCCATCCGAAATTTCTTTTCGTTAAGGTCGGCGCGTAATAAATATTAGTTAAATATATTAAAAATGGAACTGATACCACTTATATTTCGGATATTCGATGGTGTGACTGTGGGCAAAATATCGTATATAAAGGCAGACGGTAGAACAAATATAGCAAGATGAGATAAGGGCGAGCATTGGAACTGCCGGGTTCCACGTGGTGCAATGTGAGACACCTGGGGACACTTCGAAATTTTCGAACTTCTAAGGTTAGTTTTAAAAAAGAGAGACAATTATATTTTCCTTAACAACTCTATTGATGACATCTACATACCCAATGCAGAGAAATAATGTTGAAAAATACTTAACATGCATCACCATCTGAATGCATTTTGAATGAATTGACTTGTTTTTCAACTTTAAAAATCTAAAGTGTAGTTTTTGTCTTTACAGGGGAATAACATCTCAGAGGCTATGAATTGAGCTTAAGATAAATTTAAATATATCTTAAACCCACTAAAAGGTAATTATAACTTTAATATACTTTGTCTTACTTCCAAAATTGATGAAAACTTCATACTCAACTCAGAGAAATTATGTTGAAATCTATTTAACATGCATCACCATCTGAATAAGACTTTCCTTTTAAGTTTATGTTTTAAAAAATGTATATGAGTAACCTAGTTTTTCTTTACTTTGCAGGCAATGCTTAATGATACATATTAAGCAGTGGATTCTGACTCACAGTTCATCAAAAGGTAATTCTCATTCTAGAAAATTTAATTAGAATTTATGTTAACCTTTCAATTGATGACAACTTCATACCCAACTCAGAGAAATTATGTTGAAATTCTTTTAACATGCATCACCATCTGAACAAGAACTTTACATTTAATTTTGCTGTCATTAATATTATTTATTAACTTAGTTTTTGTTAATAATTCACAGGTAAAACTTAAATGTGAGGTATTCAACGGACTAACCAGTGCTTATCGTATGGACCAATAAAAAGGTATTGCCCAATATCACTAATTATATGGATATTTTATTTTATTAAACCCCTTTATTGATGACAAATTCATACCCAACTCAGAGAAATTGTGTTGAAATCAATTTAACATGCATCACCATCTGAATGAGCCTTAAATATTTCGCTTGTCATAAAAAATATGTATAAGTAACCAAGTTTTTCTTACATTTTACAGGCTGTGCAAAAGGATACTTCCTTAACAACACATTTTAATTGACAGGTTATAAAAAGGTAATTCTCATTCCAGATAATTTAATTTGTATTTATAACTCCCTAATTGATGATAACTTCATACCCAACTCAGAGAAATCATGTTGAAATCATTTTAACATGCATCACCATCTGAACAAAATCTTAATAATTATTTTTATTAAAATAATTATTCATTATTAACAAAGGGTTTTCTTGTAATTTTTCAGGATGCAAAAGAATTCTACCGTCGGTGTTATAAAGGAATCTTTTAACAAAATACCGTTCAATATATAAAATAAATTCTTTATTTAAGCATACACAATAAAATATTTTAACGGTCTAAATTAAAGATCTTAACAAACTGTTTAACACGCTCTCCACAACAATAACAAGCTGAGAAAGAGGATCTCCTTCTTGTGCAATCGATTCCAACTGGACGAGGCTCCTATACCATCGTAGTACACCTCCTTGTGGGATGATTTCCGCACAGCAGCACCGCCATTGAAGTCGCGCTTCTTCTTGAAGCTCTCGTAGTACCAATCCATGCCATCCTTGCGATCCACTCTGTCAACCTGAAGGAGTTCCAGTTCAGTCCGTTTTTGCGCTTTCGCTGTGAGCTGATGCTCACTGGCCACCCCCTCGTTATCCGCACTGGGCGTGGTCCGCTGATACTCCTCCGCCGTGGGCTGAGCCACTTGCTGTTGATAGGGCGTGTACACCTTGGTGATGGTGGAGCGTCCTCCACCTCGCAGCGGAGGAGAAGGCGGTGGCGGTGGTGGTACTGTGCTCGTGGGACGGGCTGGAGTAACCTGAAAGTCACTTGGACTCTGTGGCGTTGTGGTGGTCACCCAGGAACGACTCTTGATCTGCGCCACATGCTCTTCGGCCGGAGGAATCAACAATATCGTCTCCGCCGTGGTTGTCTGCACCAGAGGAGGAGGTCTTAGCAAGGTCACAGATTGCGCCTCCAGGTCGTCGTCATCGTACTGAGATTCCTGCTCCTGTTCACTGCTGGATGAGGCATCGTTAATGGTAGTTCCCTGGGTACTAGTTGTAGTACTTGAAGTACTCCTCGGCGTGGTCCTTGTAGATGCTCTAGTTGTGCTAGTTGTTATCCTCGGCATCACTGGCATTGTGGTGGTAACATCGGAAGTGGTTTCTGTGACCTCGTATGTTGCCGTTTCTGAACTTTCACCGCTGCTTTTGGTTGGCTTAGGTCTCGCCTGATCAGAAATGGGAATAAATTTCCTTTCACCCTTTCCTTGGCTCGTCTCCGGTGGTTTTCCCGTAACATTCACTGGCTCAACCAGACCACGTCGCTGCTGAGGATCTTGTACAGGCATAAAACCACCGACATGGACCGGAATGATGGGACGGAAACCACCGCGTTCGATGCTCGATGGCTCACGAAAGGTGGTGCGAAAGACACCCACTGTGGTGGCTGCACTTCCACTCTCGTTGCTCAGCGCATCCTCCACGGAGGAAGTGGTGGAATCAGTGTCCACATATCGATTTCTCGCAATGTTTTGCTTCTCCTGCTGCTGCTGATCCTTTAGATACTTTTCGAACTCAGCGCTATTCGGCTGATACATCCTAGTTTTTCCCCGTCCACTGGGCAGATTTATGTGTGCCATTCGATGCGTGGCAGGCATTTCATCGGGGCCATCCGTTCGCTGTTTTCGTCCTCGATCCCCGAAACCGAAAAATCTACCTAAACTCACACTAGGCAAGGGATATCCAAAGAAGGTAAAGGGCGATCCACTACCCTGCTGAGGCCTTCGATTGAAGTATTTCGTATGGAGCAATGTATTATTCAGATCTAAATTGCTGTTTGCCGTGGGAATCGGCTTGGGTCGCTGCGAAGTACTGATCACGGAGTTGGTCGTATCTGGTGCCTCGGTCGCGTCCACATACTGATCGTAGAAGTACTCGCTCTCCCCCACCAGAGGTCGATCTCCTGGCAGCCTGGTTCCCTCGTTGGCCTCGCACTCATCATTGAAATCCTCTGGCAAATCCCTCTGGAAGACATCGCCGTGCTCGTTCAGCAGTGGCAAGTGGTTGCCATCGGTTCGTTCATTCCCATAGATATCCACACCCGTGCAGAGACTTCTCTCCATGCGGGCCGCTCTCAGCAGGCGTCCATCCTGGCACTTGGGTCCCGGATACGGAAAGTTCGTCTCCTGCAGCCACACCGACAGCCACTGCATCTCGCAATTGCAGTCAATGGGATTGCCTGTTATCAACGAAAATTCATTAAAATATTGATTTAGGTTTTTGTCTAGTCTTACCGTCCACATCCAAAATGGCTATGTTTCCTCGAAGGTTTCGGAAGGTACGTTCTTTAATACTCCTAAGTTGGTTGTTCCGCATGGACAAGACTCGTAAACGAGGCATCGTCTCAAAAGGAGAACCCTGTAAAGAAAAATAAATGAATTAACATAAACATCCAAGGATTTAATTTTACCTCGTTAAGAGTTTTTTTTTAATATATTATAAAATAAATAATTATTCAGTATCTTTAAATCTTTGGTAACAGATGATTTATATATTTACTTATTTAAAAATCTCACCTGAATCCGACATATCTGATTGTTGTCCATTTTGAGTTCTACCAACCAGTTTAAGGCCTTCAACGGCATCGTCGAGACCAACTTGACCCCATTGGTGGAGAGATCCAAAACCTCAAGATTTCGCATGCTTCGAAGACCTATATTTTCCATATTCCTGAAGTGATTGTTGGAAAGATTAAGAAAGACTAGCGAATTAGCATTGTGGAAGCTTTCCGGTGATATGTAGCGCAGTTTGTTGTACTGAAAGTGGGAGGCCAGCAGATTTGGTAGCTCCTCAAAGACATGATCCTTTAGCTCCACTAACTTATTGTCGGCCAAAACGAATTCCTGGAGTTCATCGAGTCCCTTAAGGGCTCCAGGCTCCACATTCCTGATCTCATTGCTGCTGAGATCAAGATATTGCAGCTTAGGAAGGTTGCGGAAAGTGCCCTGCTGCAACTCTACAATAAGATTATTGGACAATCGGATCTCTACCACATTTCGCCAGCCACCAATCACATCGGATTGGACACGGGATATCTGATTATAGCTGAGATCGATGTCTCGCAGGTTGTTCAGGTTTCCCAATCCCACCGAGATATCCAGAAGGGCATTTCCAGAGAGATCCAGATATTCCAGTGATCTTTGGGTGTCGAATGCGGTGGGCGAGATGCTGCGTATTAGATTCCTAGACAGATCCAACTGCTCAAGTCGACTGTTGTTGGAAAATAAATTATCCGTAATAGCTTCCAATTTGTTGGACTGGAGGTTTAGATTCCTTAGTTCCGCGAGCGGTAGTAAAGCCCTCTCATCGGCTTCACCAAGTTGGTTATCCTGCAGATGTAGCAACTCCAGACGTTGGATTCCTATGAAGGAGGTGTCCTCCAACTGACGCAACTCGTTTTGAGCCAGACTCAAGACCCTCAGCTCCGATGCCCCCTGAAAACCGTGTCTGGGCAGCTGTTCTATGCGATTCTGACTAAGATCCAGCATCCGCAGGTTGGGCAATTGCAAATCCTTGCTAGCAGCTGCTGGTAGAGAAGATATGTGGTTACCCTTCAATGAGATACGCTCCACGATTCTAGGAAGACCTCCGATCACTGTTTTCAACTGATTATAACTGGCATCGACCTCAAAAAGTCTCTCCAAATGGATTAGTGTGGAAGAATGAATTTTGGACAGTTCATTGGAGGATATGTTGAGGGTTTCGAGGAGGGGGTTGTGACGGAAACTGTTGGGCGCCACTTCGGTAAGACCATTCTCACTGAGATCCAGACGTCTTAGAGAGGGAAGTCCGGCCAGCAACTGGGAATCCACCCTGCCAAATTGATTCTGAGCTAGATCAAGGCCTTTTAAACCAGGAAGATTCCAAAATGGTAGGGGTAAATCCGAAGATAAGCTGTTATTTCTCATCCGAAGTTCCCTCAAGGCGGGCATTGCCATCAAGGCATCCCTCTCGATGAGTCTCAGGTGGTTGTGGTTCAGATGCAGTTGCTCCAGAGTCCCGTGGCCACGAAGAGCTCCATAAGGCAGCTCGCTCAGCAGATTACCACTCATGTCCAGATAGCGAAGCGTAGGTAATGCATCCAACAAAGCCCTCAAAGCTTCCACGTGACCAATCTCATTGTTGTAGATGTGCACCGCCTCCACACCACTTCCACTTGCCTGAAGCAGGGATTCCGGATGGATACGCCGGATGAGATTGTTGTGCAGATATATGGTCTTCAACTGGGGTGTGCGTAGAAAGGCTCCATATTGCAGTTCTGTGATTCTATTATCGTTCAGGTGAAGCTCGGAGAGATTGGGCAGGTCCACAAAGGAGCCATCCTCTATTACGGTGATGAGATTGTGGTCCAGTCGTAGTTTCTTTAGATGCTCCAGATCCTTTACAATGCGACCAACCATGCCCACATCGCTGATTTGATTATAGGAAAGCTTTAGGCTAACCAAATTGGGCAATCTCGACAGGGCACGTAAATGTATCCAGTTGAGACCGTTGTGCGATAGATCCAAGTTCTTCAGGGAGATCAAACCATCGAAAAGACCCGCTTCCAAGCGGGTGAGACCTCCGCCTCCTGTTATATGTATGTGTTGAAGTTTAGGGAGGTGTCTAAAGAGATGGGGTGGCAGTTCTTGGAGAGCTGCCGTCTGGACACTCAGATAGGTGAGGCTTAGCAATCCCGAGAAATCAGGCAAGTGCTTCAGCTCATCGCTCTGGATGGTTATGGCCAGCATGTTGATCATCCCGTTAAGACTCTCCGCCGGAATGCTGCGCAGTTGAGGTTCCACCACGAAGATCTCAACCAGGCCGTTCTCCAGCTCATTCAGCCATCCGTTGGACACTCTTTCGATGCTATTGTGACGCAGCATCAGTCGCACAATCTGCAGGCTGCCAAAGAAGCGTCCTGGCAGCGCCGGCAATTGGTTGTTCTCCAGGACCAGTTCGTCAATCCGGCCCTTTATATTCCGTTCCACGGCCTTGAGACCGGTTTGGATCTGGGGTAGGTTACTGTGCGAGCACCTATTAAGGAAATATATATATATCTTAGGGATCTTTGCGAGCAAGAACTTCGAACTAACCATATCTGGATTTCCTTTCCTCGCAAGGAACAGCGGCAGGGTAAAATAGCCTGCGATGGAGGACAACTTTCGGTCCTGATCAGAGTTAGACCAATACACAGTAGTAGGAAAATGGGCAGCTGCATCCTGGTTATGGGCTAGACCATAGGCTTTGTGGGTACAGCAGGTTTGTTGTAGCCAACTTGGGACATAGCTATGAGGGAAAATAAATTGAATTAATATAATAATCTGATTTACCATTCAAATTATATTACTAGGATTAAGTTATTATTATTAATCTACAGCAACTAATCTGAAACATCTCAACCCCATGTGAAAACCATAAATAACATCTAAGAATAGAGCCAGCAAACCAGGAATGAAAACAAACGTCACATGAACACTTGTGCTATAAAAGCCCCCTCATCGTATATTCATCACATTTAGCAGGCGCAATAAGTGAATTAAAAATAAATTATGTTTTATTATGGTTGATAGTTCCGCCGAACTTCAGGTAAGACCCCCTCGATTGCGATTTCTGGTTCAACCAAAACCAAACAGGGAAACGGTATTCGCACTTTCCTGCACTTAAAAAATAGTTCTCAATGTAAACAAAATTTGCCATTTATTTAGTAAAATACCTATATTTTGTTGAAAGAATTTTCTAAATTTGCCATTTATTTAGTAAAATACCTATATTTTGTTGAAAGAATTTTGTATAATGGAAAAATGTTTTTTGACTAACAATATAAGGCTTGCAGATATTATATTTACATTTAATCCCTAGCCAAAATTGTTCAATGCAGTTCAACTACTGCTAAAAAAATGGCAATACTTATTTTTGGAGTGTCCCAGACAAAGGTACCTCCATAAATCAGGGGACCGTTTTTTGCCAGCAGATAAGAACGGACTATATAAAGAAGGCCCCACGGCCAGTTAGCCAACAAACTTGATTGCCCACCATGAATCCAATCTTCTACGCCCTACTGTTCTGTTTGGTGGCGGGTCTAGCCGTCGCCGAGAAGTCGGACTATTGTCTGAGTGAGATCATCAAGTCCGACGCGAGGATCCGCTCGCACGGATATCCCACGGAGACGCACCAGGTGACCACCGAGGATGGCTATGTCCTGACCCTGTTCCGCATTCCGTACTCCCACAAGCTGAAAAACCAGAACGAGAAACGTCCCCCAGTCCTCCTGCAGCACGGACTGTTCAGCAACTCGGACTGCTGGCTCTCCTCGGGACCGGATAACTCGCTGGCCTATCTCCTGGCCGATGCCGGATACGATGTGTGGCTAGGCAATGCCCGTGGTAACATTTACTCCCGGGAGAACAACCTCATCTCGCTGAACAGCCACAAGTTCTGGCACTTTGATTGGCATGAGATCGGTACCATCGACATCCCCGCCATGATCGACTATATCCTGCAATACACTGGACACAAACAGTTGCACTACTGCGGCCACTCACAGGGAACCACCGTGTACATTGTGATGCTCTCCGAGCGACCCGAGTACAATGCCCTCATCAAGTCCGGACATATGTTGGCCCCATGTGCCTACTTCGAACACGGAACCTCCTTCATCTTCAACGCCCTGGGTCCCTTGGTGGGCACACCGGGTGGCATCTGGAACCAACTGCTGGTGGACACCGAGCTGATCCCGCACAATAACCTGGTCAACCGTCTGGTGGACAACAGCTGTCATATGGTCAACTCTATTTGCAACAACGCCTTCATCATGTTCGCCAACGGCGGCTACGTTAATGCCAATGCGGTGAGTAGTATTTAAATAGTTGCATGGAACTCGAAAAGATCTGTAGACAGAGATGTTTTAGGCTAGCGATAACATTTTCTTTTTAATTTAAGCCTTGCATCCCAAATTTCATATCGATTGAAAAATGATCAGCTCAAATATTACGAACAATTCGTTCAAATCTGTAGATACTGATTTCTAAACCTCTTATCCCAAATTTCATATCAATTGAACAAGATTTAAATCCAATATTTTTATAAAAGTAGTTATAAAAATGCCTTCGACTTTCAGAGCTCCATGAGTGTCCTGATTGAGACCCACCCGGCTGGTTCTTCCAGCAACCAAGGCATCCACTACCTGCAGCTGTGGAAGTCCGGTGAGTTCCGGCAATACGATTGGGGCACCAAAAAGAACAAGGAGCTGTACGGCCAGGAATTGCCCCCTGATTACGATCTCACCAAGATCACCGCCCCCACCCACTCGTACTCCAGCAACAACGATGCCCTTTGCGGACCCGAGGATGTTGACACCCTGGTGAAGAACTTCGTTCATCTGACGGAGGACTACCGTGTGCCCGTCCAGAGCTTCAACCACTTGGACTTTATCATTGCAAGGAACATGAAGGAGCTGGTTAACGATCCGATCATCGAACGTATTAACTCGTACGAAGGTCGTTAGGAAAAAAACCAATAAAGAAACCCCGTAATGCACTCACTTTGAAAGTCATATTTTCTGAATATCTCGGGGGGTATGGTTTGCAATTTATAGTGGGCTTAAGATAGGAATAGATTGTCCAAATTCAATGATAAGTTCTTGAAATCAAAATCACAGCAAAACAAGAATTATTAGATTGCTAATTATAACCAACCTTTAAATATCCCTGAGATCATTAATAAATTTTAAAAAGCTTTCCCAAGAAAAAAACCCGCAAATAACTAAGTGCAATACTCTAAATGGTCTTATCTTTGAAATTGCATGAGCCAATAAATTGGTTTAATAAATATGGAAGGGTATTCATTTGAATTTATTATATGGCTTAGCCTGATTAGATACCGATGTCAGCTATTAATCACTCATTCAGCTGTCTGGCTCTTGTCTTGAATTTATTGCTTATTAACAGGTAGCTACTTGTTAATCAAAATTTCCACTTCGATTATAGCTATTTGCTTGGTTGATTTAGCTTAATGCGATTGATTAAATACACCTTTTGTTTACCAAAGTCAAGAGTCTAAGGAAATTCGTTTTAAATCGATTGAGATTAGAAGTGTTATTATAGGTAGTGTCCCCGCTATGCCAGGTTAATAAATTCAATTTGTTCGGTATATTTGAGATTCGGTGAACCTTGCCAATTAATATTCACAGTTATATTATAAAGTGTATAAAATATGTTTAGCATATTACATTTTTGTGAGCTTGATCATTGGTAAAATATAATTTAGATACTGAGTTAACGTTCATGCGATCTAAATGCAAGTTATTAGGATTATTGCTACTCAAAGCTAACCCTTATTTATTGTTTTTGATCATAAATTTTAATGACTCTAGAGATGTTGATAGAGAAATATCTCTATCGCTCAGATGAGTACCTTCATGCACTTCTAACGGCTCATAAGTCCCAACGTTTGAGGTGGTTCGTACGACAGGAAGTTATACATACGTTCGCTGTCTTGTGCAACAGCCCCAGAGACTCGTCGCGTCTTCATAATGTATAGACATTATACCTTTCCATGGCATCGCTATAACTATACCACCCTCACATGCAACTGCGCAACTCGAACCGAAAAAGAAACTCTTTGCGCCGAGAAGCGTAACATGGGTCTTTCAACGAAAATTTTGTAATCATTTAACAAAAACTGAAAAACAGAAGCAGTAGGAAGCGAGTGAGGCAGCTGCAAAACTTTGGACTAGAGTGAAACGCTAACCGCCGATTCAACTTCGGTTTTAGCTTTATCTTCTGACGCCGTTTCTACGCATGCGCAGCGGAGTTTACATCAAACGAACCTTGAAATTATTGTCGTTTTCATCATTGTTCGGCTGCCGGAGTATCTGCATCTGTGGGCATAGCTGTATCTGTACTATATCTGAGTCTGCGCCAGTATCTGTATCTCTCTGCAGACGTAGTTGTGTGTTATTTCTTGCATTGCACGCCTTGAAGTCACACTAAGTGAAGTCCCCGTCCGCGAACCCCATCCCCATTTCCACTAGACTCTGTCTATAACGACAATTTCACCTGCTCTGATTTCTTTTCGGTCCCCCTCAAACTCTCCTAATTAAGTAACTGTTTAGTTCTACATCGAACGGTTCTTTGAACAATGTAGATTTAGAATTTAGATGTAGGTGAGCTATTTAGTTTAATGGATTCAAAATTGCAAGTCTAAATAGAGCACAGCATATTTTCATTAAAATCCTATATGTGGACATGGTGTTTAATACAAGGAATACAAAATTACTGTTCTAAAAATAGAAAAAGGACTTCTTATGTAAAAAAATTCTTTATAATAAATTAAGACTCTTCTGTGTTAATAACAATACATAAGATTTGCTAATACAAATTAAAACCTTTATAGTTCTCTGTTTTCTTTTTAAAGGTTTAAATTAAAACTCTATGTGTCTTACTCAATCACAATATGATCCAGGATAGTTATTTTTCTTGCGCTATTAATCCGATATATCCAGGTAAATTGAAACCTCTTTCGCTTTTTATTCACTTAAGATAACACAATTCTCACTGTTTTCGGCCTTATTTGCAAACCCTTTTGGTTTCTTTTTTATTTTAATTCACTTCACTTTCGAAATCACTTTTGATTTCTTTAAGGCGTTTTCATTCAATTAAACACCAACACCTGGAATTCATTTGGCATGGACTTCGGTGAGTTCTCCGCGATTTCTGTTAGCCGAACCGTCTCGTTTGGAATGCACGCGAAAACTGTTTCTCGAAATAGTTACAGCCCAGCAGATTACTCAAGATTTCTACCAGAAATGTCGGCTTGAGCGGAGCTTCCTGCTGGAGTTGGGTTCCACGTTGGGCGCCACACTTGGATGACTCTCACCGAGCAGTGGATTCCATTATGGAACTCGAGTGAGTCGATCTGTGACCACGGATCAGAGGTCGCTCTTCCCTCGAGATCGGGGATTCGGCCCAGTCGGTACTCAAAGTTGTTTAGGGCCAGCGTTTTAATGAAATTGCAAGTAAAATTATGAGAATTATGGCAGGAAATCACTGTGGAAACAAAGGCCAAGTGCTAATTTTGGCATGTAATTGGATAAACATGACAATTCTTACTTGTATTATTGTTTTCACAGATGAGATAATTGCGTTTCTGAAGAAACTTGTAAGAAATTAATTAGATTAGTATAATTAGACTACACATCGATTGATGTAGTCCTACTTTTATTATTGTTTTCACAGATGAAAAGATTCTGTTTCTAAAGATACTTGTAAGAAACTAATTAGATTATAAAATCATCGATCAAAATGAATGTTTTAGGATGATCAATTTGCTGTTTTAATAATAAAATAATTAAAGCCCGTGTCTTAGGATTAAAGCTAAACGCGATACATAAATTGGTAACTATAAATAGTTTACAATTTTTAAATATTTATTAATTTTATCAAGTACTTTTGGCCGAATAGCAGTTTGTAATTTTACACTTTGTTGTAAGTTTAACATTAAAATGAGAAAGTAGCCCTAGATGAAGTATTCTCAAAGAGAATCATTAGGACGAATGAAATTATGTAAATTCCTTTTTCCAATGAACAATCTTTTGATCCTCTCGAATTCTTAGATGGTACCTGTATTTCGGGTTCCTCCATTGCTTCCAAAGTGTAATAGTCAATAAATTCCGTATTTCGTACATTGTCGTCGTATTGTCCAGGTTGATTTCCAGGTGGAGTATACCTAACTACCAATATCTTTCTACCGTTTTCGTTTCTGCAAGTAAATAATTTGGCAATGAGGCGAGAAAATATTGCATTACCTACAATGGATTCTTTGGTGCAATTCCGATACCCATTACTGAAGAAGCTTTCCAGGTGATTGCGGAAAATTTGTCGGCCAATGATTGTTCATGCTTGTTTCTAAGTTCTTTACCGTAGCACTTTGCCCCTTCAACAGTCCAGAACTTAACACAAATATTTTTCCGAAACTCGCAAATATTTTCCGTATACTCGTTTTTCTCTGGATCCGATAAGGGAAAAGCCAGTTGATCTACCACCATATTCTTCTCTTGAGCTTCTTCATATAACATTTGATCTGGGATATTTAAGGTGGCCAGATGTTTTGCGTATTCTTCGGCTTCTTCGGAGAGTGGGAAGGAAAAACCGAACTCTGGGAGAACCCAATTTCTGCGGTGCTGATTGTGGTCAATTATCACCTCCTCCATAGTGGTATAATATGCTCCTAAGCAAGGCTGAAAGATCTAAAACGAAAGTACAATATTTAAATGATCTTTAAAATATTTGATTTTAAATAACCTGAAAAACAAGCAGGAGTATAAAATGTATCATATTATTTGTTGTTTTAATGTATGTATTCAAAAAATGACAAGTTTTTCCTATATATTCCATGAACATTAAGCATTTGGTGTATATTCAAAATAAAAAAGAAATAAACCTTTCGAAACTTCTAATATACAATTAATTTATTTCGCGATAGATTCAAAACATGCAGGAACAAAAGTGAAATTCTCAGCTGTTTTTGTTTTTCTCTTGGCATGCAAATATAAATAATATTTTTAGTTCTATATGCATAATATTTACGGAATTTACCCCGTGCAAATCCATCTACATACGTCATGCACTTGAGTGAATACTGGTTGTCAGGGCCAATGTGCACCCTGTACGCCACCAGATGATAAGACCACTACAGGAACCCACAAGCAGTCAGTCATCACATGTGTTTGTTGCTAGGTACCTTACAACTAAATAAGTAGTATTCATGTTTATATAAAACATATATTTTTTTTCTATAATGAAAGATCAGAAAGATAAAAAGAAAATTCGACAAATATTGATGTTTAGTAAATTTTTATTGCGATTATAAATATGTAGTTAAAAAACATAATAATTAGAATTCTTTCTTTTTGCACGAGAGCCAGAGAAAGGTTATCCTTAAGTAAAGCTGATGTGTAAAATAAGAAAGAACTGCATAGGATTATGATGAGATAAGTTCTCGATAAGTAAAGAAAATTCGAAGCATGCCAAACACACCCCCAAAAATGTACCCCCTATTAAAAGAGGGGCCTGTCCGAGAGCCCACTTGCGAAGCACCCTGTAGCCCCCAATAGAGCTTGCATAACCCCCAGCAAACGCAATATGTACTATACGGTGTTTTTGCACAGATTTAGACATGCCCCGCCACCGAAAAGGAAACCCATCCATCTGAAGCTCTTGTTGTTGTCAATTGGCGGGCCTCCGCCATATAATTTGCTTTCGTTTTTATTGAATCTCGGGCCCCGGCCCCAAACAAAATCGGTGCGCCATGGCGACAGTTCCCGTTCGCGTTCCCCAGCTCCCGGCTCATAATGAATTTGACTGGCTGCCAACTAACACTCACTAACTGACCGACCAAGTAACTAAGCGACCAGACGAGACGATTGGATCCGACGGGATCCGAGTGCTCAGGCGATATATGTGAAAACATATAGCGAAAATATGGCGGTAATGTTGAGGGCTTGGTGAAAAATATTTTGCAAATTTCGAAATCAGTTGAAAATCGCAGCTCGCTGGCAGCGCTCGTCGGGAATCGGAATCGGAAGATCAGATCGAATCAGTGTCTCAGTCCCTGTCCGGAAAATGTTTCGCAAATGCCTTGCCGGCCTGGCTCTGGCTCCCATCCCTGCTCCCGTTTCGGTTCCCAGGATAACCCCGATCGCCAGTCAGCTCATCCAGCGCCGCGCCGTCCACCAGGTGCCCCAGGAGAGTAGGCCACCCAAAGTTCTCATCACAGGTCAGTCGCCGCGCCACGTGTATGGTCTATATTTACCCGCCTAGCAATGCCTTCAAGGCCGGTCGGACGACCGCATAAATTTGTCACAATTTATAGCATATAGCGCACACGCTTAACAATATTTAAAAAAAATCACACTTTAAACAATTTCAAAATGGTATTGATTTTTATTATGTGTGTGTAATATCAAATCCATTAAAATAATAAGGATAATGTGCAAATACAGCAAAATAAAATATAGTGTAATAATAAGATTTGGCAGCAAAATACTGGTAGGATAGTTTAAAATCCTGGTCAATTTCGGAGCGATTGGTGACTCTGTGTAATATAAAATTCAATGAAATATTAATGTTAATGTCAAGGAAACTAGTGCCAGAATAGGAAATTAAAAGGTATTACCATAATAAAACTTCGCAGTAAAAATATTGGTGAGATAGTTAAAAATCCTGGTCGATTTCTGAGCTGGGGCTCTGGGCTCTAAATAAAACACTCGCAATGTTTTTTTTAGATATTTTGGCTAAAATGATATGGCTAACAAAGCTCTGGTTAAGCTCTGAACAATACTCCTCCAAAACAATAACTGGTGCAACTATTATTCATATTGTTACATTTTTCATTAAAATATTTTAAACTATTTTTTTATATAAATAATCATAGGCAAACATATTTGGGCGAAAAGTATATAGATGCCTGAAAGAATGCTATGAAATGTATTGTAACAACACGTGCCGCGAAAGGTTAATAAAGTATATGTGAATTAGTATGTCAAGCGCTTTGGTTAGAATAAGAATTTTAATTTTATTGAAAATAGTTTGTATTTAAATATAGTACCAAGTATCACTGTTTACTATTGTTTTTTCAGGTGGTCTGGGACAGTTGGGAATTGAATGTGCCAAACTTTTGCGGGCGCAGTATGGCAGCCACAATGTAATTCTCTCGGACATTTTAAAACCCACTCCGTCAGTGCTGGAAAACGGTCCTTACATCTTTGCGGACATCCTGGACTTCAAGGGTCTTCAAAAGATCGTAGTGGACCACCGCATCGACTGGCTGATCCACTTCTCGGCCCTGCTCAGTGCTGTGGGAGAGCAGAACGTTCCTCTGGCTGTGAAGTGAGATATTTTTACTAAGAATTATAGATCACGTCTGTCTTATTTGCTTAAAAAAATAATTCAAAAATGCTATTTTCCAAAAAGCATTTGGTTTATACGTTACCGAATTATTCTTGCTTTAGTTACGATAGTCCCTTTCATATTTTGCCCACTTTTCTTATAAGTATATCCCCTACAACAGGGTCAACATTGAGGGTGTTCACAACGTCATCGAGGTGGCGAAACAGTATAAGCTCCGCATCTTTGTGCCTAGCACTATCGGAGCTTTTGGCCCCGACAGTCCCCGCAATCCCACGCCAAATGTTACGGTAGGACCCACGCTTTGATAGCCAAAAGTTTGTTCGATATTAAAGACCCAGTTCCGCAGATCCAACGTCCTCGCACTATTTATGGCGTTTCCAAGGTGCACGCCGAGCTGATTGGCGAATACTATAACCATAAGTTTGGCCTGGACTTCAGATGCCTGCGCTTCCCCGGAGTTATATCCAGCGATCCGCCCGGCGGCGGCACCACAGGTAGGAAACGACCTGATATACATATAATCACCTGTACTTTCTTCGCAATCTCATGCATGCCAATCTGCAGGAAAATATCTTTGAGTTACTTTTCCCGCAGAAATTGTGTCGTCAGGCGCATTTCAAGCTTTATTTAATCCAATTGCATATCATAAATGCCTCAATTGGTGATAGTTTATGATAATCAAAGAGCATGACAATGGCCATAATTTATGCATACATGGGGTAGTGGGTATTATGCTACGCCTTCTCTTTTGATGTGGTACTTCAAACCTGGTGACCCATATTAACTTTTTCTTTTAACAATTGAGTTTATTAAATTAATGATTATTCAAGATCCCGCCTTATTATACTTAAAATGCATTCACTGATGTTTATCTTTTAGAGAAAGTCAATTTGTATTAATTTTATAAAATGTATACACACTTTTGAAGCACACTTGCCGAAACTTAATTAACTAGTACATCTGCGTAAACTTTTTCAAATTTAAAACAAATTCAATAAAAGTAATATTTAAAACTTATAAATTATTAATGAGCTTCAAATATCACCTATTATAACTTGTAGACTATGCTGTTGCCGTGTTCCATGATGCTTTGCGACATGGAAAATACACCTGTTACTTGCGTCCTGATACAAGACTGCCTATGATGTACATAGATGATTGTTTGCGGTGAGTGTAACCACATTCAAATAAAAATTTATAAACAAACTGTTCATTACCATTTAAAAAATATGCAATTTTTTTGATTTAGTATCAATATCAATTATGTACATTTTTTTCATTATATCACCAGAGCCCTTCTGGAGTTCATGCGGGCACCCAATGAGCAGCTGAAGCGACGCGTCTACAACGTGACCGCCATGTCCTTCACCCCCGGGGAACTGTTTACCGAACTGGGCAGGCACGTGCCCAATCTGCACGTGACCTACAAGCCGGATAGCCGCCAACTGATCGCAGACGCGTGGCCGGAAGTGTTCGACGACTCGGATGCCAGGAGGGACTGGCACTGGCAGCACAAGTACGATCTTGCCAACTTGGTGGACTTCATGGTAAAGGACGTCCAGGATAACTTCATCAATGCGCAGCCGGAAAAGCAGAAGTTTCAGATCTGATCTTCAGGCCGATCAAACAACCGCATCTAGTATTCTTAAGTAATGAAATTCTATCGCATTTAGCTCTGCATTTATCTAGTGATTACCAACACAAAACACTGTACTCTTTACTTTTGAAAATACAGTAGGCATTTATGGGAATCAAAATATATTGGTCAATTCATTTTAACTTGCACGATTTTTAAGAGAAAATGATGATATGAGCTTCGCAACGTTTGCTTATGATTTATTTGAACTCAAATACAATTTCTAAGCACCTTTAAGCTTATATTACTACTTAGGTTAGAGTTTACAGTGCTCGCTTAGAGTTAGCTGGAGGCTACATTGGACTGCCTTATGGACTATTGCTCAGATATCAGACTCCTCTTGCTCCGACCTGCTGAGCTTACGGAAGTGATGCAGACTACCGCCATGTGTGGCTATATACAAGTCCGCCTCGGCTTCGCTGCCTTTTGATTTAAATTTGATTTTCTCAATACGATCTAGAGATTTTCTTGACTTTTGCTTCGATGGCGGCACTGCGAACTCTGTAAACGAGCAGAAATTTGAGAGAGTTGTCTATCAGTTTTTTGATTTTTAACACCGCTTTTGTAGCTCGAACATGTAGCGTTTGCTCTCTAGATCTTTCACAAAGTGTTTTTTAATTCTCATTCATTAATGTTCAAAGTTGTCTGATTAATCTAGATGTGTATATCAATTTCATGTTTCAAGTAGTTCAAAATTGTTACTTGCTTTTGAATTTACTTTATAATACAAATAATTTGTCAAGAAATCGTATTATAATATAAAAAAAATTCAATGGGGGAAAAAAGGAAACTATTTTAAAATATTAGTAAACAAAAATTCATTCACTTGCGGTCTTAACGAGTAAAGTCATCAATATATCTGAATGTATAATTTGATGGCAATTTGAACTTATGGTGATAGACCTTAAAAGTAATTTATAACTAGTCTTATGGATCAGCAACTTCAAATCTGCGGAATTACATGTCAAATATACATTTCCAACACTTTGCGAAGGCTCTAAGCAATCGCTTCAAGCTGATTGAACAATTTACTTAAATCTATATTGCTTTTGTATTAGCTGATTGCAATGCTTCGCAGGTTTAACTCTTACGTATTGAAGTTAGTTAAGTATTTCATTTCTTTAGGTAATTAAGTACAGTATTCAAACGTCTTAGTTACAAAGTATGTTGGATTAAGCTTCTGTTTGTACAATGGGGTGTGTGTGTAACAATTTTTATAAAATACTTAATGGTTCATTTGATTGCTGATTGTTACTTTTACAGATTTTCATTTTTGGTACGTGTTAAGCATGTGCATTGCAATTCATTTACATTCAAATTGTTTGTTTGCGTTAATTTGGCTTCTGAGTAATATACGAATATTTCAATAAGTTGCTGGCTTTTTGAAAACAAAGAGAGACGCGTCGCTCGGTGAATTGTTGCATGTGTTTCCTGTGCGTTTTTTCTCTATTTAGAGTACATGTTCATTTTGGGTTATATACATTTTATATTGCGTTTGAACGAAAGCCCCTAAATCATGTGCGACATCATGCAACGACTCACATCACGGTTAGCGCGATGCAAATGACCTTGATAATGCTGATGAATGCGTGGATGCTGCTGCTGCTGTTGTTGCTGCTGCTGGGCTGGAAAACTCGTCTCCGATTCCATCATCATGCCGCCGGTGGCCTGCATCTCGTAATCCATCAAACAGGCCTGTGTTCCAATTACTTGTGTGGCAGGCAGTGAAAAGAAATCTGCAAGGTGGAGGAGAAACCGATTAGTAAGTGCAAACACTCAGAAAATATTACTAAATGAATGAATATTTATAAGCCATCTTGAAAATTCATTTGAATTTTACTTTACTAGCATGTCATTAGCCATAATAATATTCGAGCCATAAAAACATATTGTTTTGTTCGGTGTAACGGCAATGCAATGCAACACGTTGACGCTATCGATATTTGCCCCAATTACCGATCGTTTATTTATAACCAATTCAAAGCAGAGCAGCGTGTTGCCGCTGTTGTCATTGCTTATCTCTGAGATACTTTTTTTTGCTTTTTGTTTGAGCTGATACCTTATCAAAACAATCTGGAACTATAAGGCAACAAAGTTAAAGCGAAGACTGCAAATTATGAACATAGAAAGTGGTAATTTAACAAGAAATAATAACAAAAATTTAAAAAACAAACAGAAGAAACCTTAAAAAAAAATTAAAGTAAAAATTAAACTTGTATATATATATTTTGTTACCATGTTTGTTCAAAAATTGAGTATACCCTCGGCAAGGGTATATATTATTGATTCACTCTCGCTAGATATACACACTTTTTTTACCGGCTATACATACATGTCTCCACCCACACTGCCTTTCCTTTGTTTTTTTTTCTATTGTTGAAACACTTTTGCGAATGCAGATTGATTAAACTCGCGGGGTAAGAAGAATTACTCCTTCATCTCCACAACCCCTTCCAGATAAACCCCATCTGGCTGTCGTGTGTTTAGTCGGGCAAACACAGCGATATAATGACTGTCAAGCCGGTTTTTTTTCTTTGCTGAAATTAAGCGGCTGTCAAGTGCTTATCGTCTTGAGTACGGTGGTTTCCATATGTCGGCGATAGCCCAAATCGCAACAAATAAATGTGAACTGATAACACAGGTCACTGAGGGCCGCAGAGGAAAGGAAAATGGGCCGCAAGGTCACAAATTTTGTAAATTTACAAGCTTTACGACACTTTTCACGCAACGCCAATTAATTAAGCCGGCCATATGGCCCAAGGTCGAATGATTAAAAATGAAATTACAGCTTAAATCATCAGGTGTGTTCCGGTTTTTAAATTCGCAAATACAAAAATGACTTAAATAAATATCTAATAGTCACATTATTTTCTTATTTTGATCAAGTTGCCCAGTACAAAAGTTAAGGCAATTTAATTAAATTAAATTAATAATTTAATAATTTTTTTATATTTCATATAGTATAGTATGTAGGAAAGTGATAAACTTGTGATAAACATTTAAGAAAGCCATAATAATAAATGATTTACTGGGAATATATGAAGTAACCATAAAACGGTTGTAAAACTATTGATTTACGGTCTTTAATAGGTTACTAGTTAAGTAATAACCCTAATTATAGGGATTTTCAGTTTTTAGTTTTTAACGAGTTTTTTATAGTACAGTAAACTTCTAATTTGCAATTTGAAATCCCAAAAGATGTTTATAATATGTATACAATATTTACCATTGCAATACTGGGCGGCCAGGTCGGCTTCGTCGTAGCGGCATCGCTTGGTGTACACCGGCTGGTCCACATCGGCATCCTGGCCGGGATTCAGGCGCTTCTTGCAGCGCAGGACCTCCATTTCCAGGGGCAGGACTGCCGGCATCGTCTGCCCCTCAATGCTATTGTTATTGTTATTACTATTGTTGTTGGCGTCGGTGGTCATGAAGGGGACTGCACGTGGGTTAAACGGATCCATAGAAGGACGCAGTGTTCCGGTTTCGAAACTGGCGGCTGTCGACGGATCGCCATGTGCCCAGCACTCGAAATTCGTCAAAACCATCGCAGCACCGATTGCAGTGGAAAATCCCCAAACCAAAAATGTCGAACGAAAAAACGCGCGTCTCAACTGTACGAAATCGTGCGGCAAACTGCAGGCGCGTTTTTTTATATGGTATACTCAGTATACAATATGGATTTTGCTGGCTAATTACCGCCGAATATACGCAGCAATGGGCAATGGCTGAAATAAATTTAATTAACACACGCAAGCGGGACGCGCGAGCAATCGGCTCGGCCAAAATGCGACTGCGATGACGGCAACTGTTAAAAATAAACCAATAAGCAAGTTTTACATTTTGCCGCGTGCGCCTTTGATTCGCGATTGCTTTTTTTGTTTTCCTTTCGCTCCAGTGTGACCGCGCTGGCGGTGTCGCAACATGGCGTTCGGCCCTGGGGAAAATACTGGAAAATACTAAAGATCGAAGCGACTACACAGCTGCGGTCGAAATAATAGTGGTAACTGGTAATCATATAAAATTATATTGTATATTGTTTTATTGTAACACAAATGTATTTTACATCTTTTTTTTCAAATTATTATACTAGAAACATAAACTAGTAAAAACAATAGACAATATATTAAAACCATGAAAAAAGAAAAACTATTACAAAAATATTTTTTAACATTAAAAAGCCATTTAGTATATTTTATTTGTTAATATAACTAAATATTTATTTAAAATACGCGAAATTCGACAATAACGACTAGTTGAATGCTCACGGTATATTCTAGTATATTTTATGTCACCAACGGTACTACCATTTTATCATGTGATTTGTGATTTGTCAAATATTTCTGATAACCGAATGGCAGGTCAAAGCAAAACCCGAAATTAGAAGAAATTATTGCTTTTGTCAATTAATCCGGGTATTATTTAGCTAGCAAAATGTCGAATAAGACCAAGAAAGCCGCCGGTGGCAACGGAGGTACAGCGAAACAAACTCTGCAGCAGTCGCATGTGAGTAACACGTAAACTCCACTTGCCGGCTGGCTTATCCCTTGTTTGTTTTTGATTTCCAGGACTCGCAGGACTACAGCTCCTTCAAGACAGTGCTCTTCTACTGCATGCTCATCGTTTTCCTGCCCGTGCTGACCTTCTTCGTCCTGAAAGGCTTCGTTCTGGATCAATTCCTCAACATCTCCGAAGTTAAAGTCAACATAGCCTCCGCCGTGGGAGCGGTCGTGGCTCTGCACCTTGCTCTGGGACTGTATATCTACAGGGCCTACTTCGGAGCACCCGGTTCCAAGGGCTCCAAAACGGACTAATCCTCATCTACCCGGACTGTTTCCCCATTTCCATTAACTATAGGTCGGAAAATCACTCTTGTACATACATACTGTAGATACAATTGTTTACATGCCAGCGAGGGAGGAGAAAGTCGCCTGTAAACCGTGTGTAATCGTTTTCCATTGCATAAGTTTCGATAACAACGTGGAAAACGTGTTGTCTAGTGTTCTATGTGCATAATTTGTATTAAAAAAGACATAAATAAGTGAAATGCGTGTGCTGTTCAGAAATTATTCCTAGCTAGAATATACATTTTTGGGGATCTATATTTGAAGGGGGAGCAGTAAAATTATTGTTAGTTTACGATCTTAACATACTATTTTCTCAAAATTAAGACTGAACATTAAAAAACTATTGGTTGTTTAATATGAGCTTACAAAATAAATGGATTCTTTGCAATACCATACTTGAGCAACAAAAATCTCAAAAATATAACCATTCTGACTGAGTCGTATCCAAAATATTTATTCTGCTTTTTGGCAATGCCAGGTAATACATAAATAATTGTATGTTAGTTCGAAACAATAAGTACCATTGTTTATTATCCCCCGTTATTAAATTTTCCTAGAGCCCCGAACTTGTGGGGGTGCCACCTGTTCACGCCTGGCGTTGCCACTTGCTAGAAATGCGGAACAGCTGTTGTACCCAACATGGGCGTCAGCTATTCTATTTCTGAAGAGGGGTAGAAGCCGAAAATTGAAAATATTTTTAGGAGAAGGAAAATTAAATTACTAACCGAAAATATGTGGAATTTATAAAACACATAATCAACTAGACCTTTTAATACCGTATTTAATGTCCATTTAAATGTATGAACATTACATACCCCCATTAAAACCACTTCAATACGCCCATGCCTTGTTGTTTTGTTCTTCACAAGTTGGCCCTAAGAATCGGCTAAGATGATAAATCACTAGGCACGCCACAGTCTCAAGCTTATGCCGCATACGGCCGCGAAACCGTGCCGCAGACGCACGTCCTTGGAACTCTTCGCACACCTGCCGCTATTGATTGGAACCACCTGTTGGAGCCAAACACCCCCACTCGCCGAAACAAAATTCTCAGCCACGTAGTCTTTAGTCAGTCGGTGAAATATGCTCCAACGAAGCGCTAGAATGTGGACGCTGTGCGTGCAGACGGCTTTGATAGCCACCTTTGTCCAAAGATCGGCCTCCCTGCAGGATAATCTCGTGGGGAGATTACAGGTCACCACCAAAGTGTGCCCTTTGCCAGCTGCTTGCTAAACTTGTGCCCTTTCTTTATCCCCAACAGAAATCATACAATCCCAGTGAGCTGTCCGAGTCCCGATTCCTGGAGTACAGCAATCTATCCGATAAACTGCATTTGAGGGAGGCCATCAACAACATACTTATACCCAGAGTTGTGGGCACGGGAAATCATAGCATAGTGCGACAATACATAGTCCAGAGCTTGAGAGATCTTGACTGGGATGTGGAGGTGGACAGCTTCCATGACGTGGCTCCCATCAAGGGCAAATTGCATTTTCACAACATCATCGCCACGCTGAATCCAAAAGCTGAACGATATCTAGTGCTCGCCTGTCATTACGATAGCAAGTACATGCCGGGCGTGGAGTTCCTGGGGGCCACCGACTCGGCTGTGCCCTGTGCCATGCTCCTAAACCTCGCCCAGGTCCTGCAGGAACAACTGCACCCGCTTAAGGAGAGCAAACTGAGCCTAATGCTCTTGTTCTTCGACGGCGAGGAGGCCTTCGAAGAATGGGGACCCGATGATTCCATTTACGGAGCACGGCATCTGGCCAAAAGGTGGCAGCGTGAAGGAAAACTGGATAGAATAGACTTGCTGGTGCTGCTGGATCTTCTGGGAGCCCCCGATCCCTCTTTCTATAGCTTCTTCCAGAACACCGAGTCCTGGTACATGCGGCTGCAGTCGGTGGAGACACGACTGGCCAAGATGGAGCTCCTGGAGCGCTATGCCAGCAGTGGAGTTGCCCAGTACGATCCCAGGCGCTACTTCCAGTCGCAGGCCATGCGCTCCTCCATGATCGAGGATGATCACATTCCCTTCCTGCGTCGAAACGTGCCAATCCTGCACATTATACCAGTGCCCTTTCCAAGTGTGTGGCACAAACCGGACGATAACGCCAGCGTGATCGATTATGCGACGACGGACAACCTGGCGCTGATTATACGGCTCTTCGCTTTGGAGTATCTGCTGGGCGGAGGCGAAGACAAGTAACATAGTTATGTGGTCTGTCCCCCTGTGTGAATCACAAATGTTGTATCTACTCACAGCCTTATCTAATTGACCTGTTCCGATATTGAGAAATTGTTAAATATGTATTCTAATACCCGCCGTGGAATCTTTGAGAGAACCCCATTGTTAACTGAATTTGCGCTTTAAAATTACTTAAGCAGATCTGAAAAACGCATAATCCAAATATTTTTATACACATGTATTTATAGAGAATGCTTAGCTAATGACACGACAAATTAATATATATTTTGTAATCTTTCGGTTGTAACTTTTTGACTTACATGTATAGTCCAACATATACATAGTAAATGTACCTTAAAACATATAACTCGTAAACTAACTGCAACTGGTGGGAAAACTTTAGTAAGTTTTTTGTCACAAGAGAGCCAGGAATACAGCACCTAGATAAAGTCACTTTCGTTTGATACTGTTGAATTGGTACCTGGTATTTACAAAAGTTTAAAAATCAACGATTTAATATTAAAAATGATTCTATGCCATTGCGTTGTCTAGTTACATTTGGTTTAACGAAAATGTTGTATATTTTCTGTAGCAAAAGTACTTTTGTCATTTTGTTCTAATTCTTTACTCTTGTGACAAGTGTTCGTTTCCTGTGCATTTAAGCGTCACACTTAAGAAATTAGCTCCGTCATCTATTTATCCATATATCTATATGGCAAATTCGTAAACTAACTTAAGAACTAACTAAAATCGTTAAGCCTTGATTCAATACTATAGTTATTGAAGGTGAATCAATCGCTACTCGTTGGAGGAGGTGGTCTGTCCATTGATTTGGCTGTATCAGCTTCAATTAAAGAAATATCCAAACCAGTTTCTTCCGCGTCGAATAATGTATGTTGCAGCTTGGGCATGGATTTCACCACTTCCTGATCTTGTCCCCTTAGCAACTGAGCTGCATCCAGTTCCTTGGGCTTCTCCACAATCACTGCACTTAGTTCGGCACAGGATTTGGATTTGATCCTGCTGTGATCGTGTCCGTTGCCTTCACATTTGGCTGGATAAGATGACTTTCCGCCTCCGGGAGCATCACAAATCTCGCGAAGATCAGTGCGGGAGTCCCTGCAGCAAACTTTTTCGATGCATTCCGCCGCCTGGCACTGCATCAGGCATTCCAGTGATGCAGAAGCATTTCTATTGGTGGACGGATAGAACTCCGGCTGGATTGTGACCGCTCCGATTCCCTGATCGTGGAAATAAGCCCGCACCTGTTCGATGATCTTGAGGTAGAGTTTGGGATTCTGGAACTGGATGTGTATGGTGGCCACATATCGATGGGCCGCCAACTGCCATATGTGTAAGTCATGATAACTGATAATCTCCGGGAACTTGGTGACTAGTGTTCGTTCAAAGATCTCTAGGTCGATGGAACCAGGAATGGTTTGCAGAAGGATCAGACACGATTCTTTCACTATAGAAGAGATGGAAATAATAAATATTTTAGGCCATATTGAATAATTGTATTCTTTATAAATATATTAAGAAACATTAATATTCTGGAAACACAAATAACTCTTAAACGATTTCAAGACTATTAAATTGTTGGAAATAGCTGCGCTACTGTTTAAGAAATCACTCTGTATCACTAATAAACATAATATAATGTTAAAATAATTTTGTTTTATTTTTTTAGACTACTTACTGTAGGGATAACTGAGCGTCACCAGCAGGATACAGGAGAAAATGGAGAGCACGGGATCGATAAACTTGGCCGTATGCTGCTCATCCTCAGCCACATAGACGATGCCGGCACAAACGATCACAAATATGGTACTGGACACATCGCGTAGCATTTCCACGGCTCCCTGACGTTTGGTGGCGAAGTAAACACTACCCACTTCCGTCTCCAGTTCCTCTCGTAACTCACGATCATTCCGGGCTTTACTGAGTTGCCTTTGCATCGGTGTGAGGGATAGGTCCAAATTGCTCGACATGGGACGCTCGAGGACCACATTTCCTCCGGGTGTCAAGTGAAGAAAACTTCCCTGATGCAGGGTGTATCCTCCAATTAGCAGATATGTCAGTCCATTCAGGATGAGGCCCACGAAACCCAACATCATCACGGGTATCGGAAGATGCATCGTATCCTGATGATCGATGTGTACTAGAGTCTGCAGGGCCTCCACTATTAGCGAAAAGGATAACGAGGCCAGGATAATAAACACAATCAGCATGGTCAAGATATCAATCCTGGCCCAGCCAAAGGTATTACGCAGCTTCTGCTCCCGGCACTCTCTTTTGGCCCGGGTTTGGGCCTCCGTTTCGGCCACGTTGACAACCACCCCGGAACCATTGCCATTTAACTTGGTCTGAACGAGAGGAGAATCTTTGGCCTCCGGTTTTTGTTTACTATGCTGCAAGAATTTAAAAAGAAATATGGTAATGTATTAATATAATCGTAGATCTACATCTATCTATGTAAAAACTATGTTGTAGAATATTTGGAGGACCATTAAGATACATTAACTTTTGTTTTATAGCTAGTTTCTTATTTAAACAAATGGTTTTCAATTAACTTAAAAAATTTTTGTTGGTTTAAATTGCCCCAAAAGATTCGATTGCCACTTCTTCACATTTTCAACAGCTGGTTTTTGAAATCTTCCGCAGCTGGCACTCAGAAAAAGAGCATCTTTCTTCAACTCATTATTAAGAAATCGTACAATTATTATCTTTAAACTTAGTCCTATTTAACCATAAAAATCTATGTTGAATAGACAAAATTGACTACTTTTGTCCCATTTGTTACAATGTTGTTTAAATTAGAAAAATAGAATCAAATGAAAATGTTCAATGCTCGTCATGCTTTCTAAGCCAAGTCATAACAATTGGCATTGGCCCATCTACAATGGTTGGCAGCTATTTAAACGCTTCGCTGATCGTTCGTCTGCCCCATTATATAAGCTCAAAATCAGCCCACACAACTGTCCACACCTACAACACCGTCAACTGCTTGGGAAGCTTTCGATTTCTGGTGTTTGGCCCCCTCTGTAACTCGGCGATTTTTGGCCAAGTCTTGTTTGATTTCTGCGGTTTTTGGGCCTCGTCTTTGTCTTTTGCGAAACGTGCTTGGCACGCTTTCCCATGGCGGCAACGATTTTTGCATCCATTCAATAACAAAATATTAGCGTTGACTGCTCCATAAATTTTTAGTTGGACATTGCCTTTGGAAGTATTCACCTTGAATTTAAATCAATGCGTGGCAAATTGAAATGAAGAAAGAGGTTCAGGAATTAGATATCGTTATTCAAGTTATAATATTATCAGTAAATAATGCTATATATATATTCCTTATAGAAACCAAGCATTCCGAACTATCTGATCCAAAATCGTTTACCATTTTCGCTTTCTACCAGACGATTACCATAAAAGGGTGACCCATTTCGATGTATCGAAGAAACTAAGGCAATATGAGTGTGTCTACACAGTCGTTCCAATATCTCCGTCTAATCAACCTGATTTCATGTCACCTGCTGTGCGGACAGTGGCATTACACCAGTGGAGCAGGCAATTATACAGCAATCGGTTGATAAGCCCAATGAAAACAGTCACTAAATTGGCTGATAAGCTTCAATAATAACTAAGAGAACCACTCCCAAGGAATGAGATAAATATTTCGCAAATTCGCCCATATATTATCGAAATAATCCAAACGAAACCAGTTCTCCGCAAAATAAAAAGGTGTTTGGAATGCGTTCGATACATTTTGTTGTGGTTTGCCTTTCTGGCCACAATAAAAGTTCAATGCACCAGCATCTGTTTCGACTTTGCACCAGCACGCGACATTTCCTGGCCAAAAAAATTGTAATACCGGCAAGCAAAATAATTCAAAACTGCCCAGGCAACACAATTATTTTTCAAAGCAATCACAGAAAAACTGATTTAAGTATTTAATATTTTACTGCTGTATCTTGGGAAATTTTAGAAATGTGCGAATAAAGCTTTTAAGTTGTAGATAAAAACAGATAGATTATAAGTAAAACTAAATTAAGAAATCATAAGCAATTTGTAAAAGAAAATTAAATAGTAAGGATGCACCTTAGTTATCAGATTTGGTTTTTAAAATATTTAAAATTAGTTTTCTTAGTAGCTTTAAAGTATGATTAAAATATTTGGTATACTTGAAAAGAAATAATCATAAAACTATTTTTTGAGTGCTAAAACGGGTAGCTAGGCAAAAAATCGTGTTATATAAATAGAGTTTTGAAAACCCCCTCAACTAAAGACTGGCCCCACTTACCTTAATTGTGATCATGCAGCCGCCGAGTGCGAAGATGTTGCACAAATTGTGATGGGAGGCCATCAGGAGTGTGAGTCCATGGGTCAGGTGGCTGAGGATCAGTTGGAGCACGAAGTAGCAGATCGAAAGTATGAGTACGGTGTACAGGGGGATCGGCCTGCACCGCTGGAGAATCTCTTTCACCGGCATTATCTGTGGGAGAGCATCGAAAGTCGGTGAGAATTGATTGCTTAAATATTTGATACATACGGAAATGGCGGACGGAAAGGTCAGCACCTGACAACGAACTGCCCTGGGTGTGATCTATATAAATTGACTTAATTTATTGCTTATACAAATTTACACTTCGTATGTTTATTAAACTTGTCACCCGACAGTCTATTAGTTTTGGAGAATGGAAGATGTTGTTCCCTAAATCAGTTTATAAGTAATAGAAAAGATATTTTTTACGAAGTATATTACGTTGATTTGCTAATTTAATTTGTCTGCTGTAATAAAACCGTTAGAAGTCTACGAAATAAATTAAATTATAAATAAATTTTCAAATCTGTTAACAGAAGCTGTTAAAAACCACCAACACATCTACCTATAGATATAACACTTATTATTAGCCCATTAATAAGTAAACCCCAACCAAACTATGTCAAGTTCAAGTGCCCAATGCGGGTTAAATGAACCGAACCAATATGGAGCGAAACTGCACTGAACCGAGCTGAACCTCCCATATTTAGGGTTCAGTATGCAAATCACCATCATGATCATCATGTGGGCATGGGCCTGGGTTTTTAGCTCCTCCTTCTGAATGCAAATGAAGATGCTAAATGGGCTCGTTTTACCTGTGCGCTACCTCAGCGTATCTCAGATCGAATCGATCGCCTGCGACATTGACGTAACTTTACGTGATCGTGGATATATGGCTACCGATTGTTTGTTGTCCGCCCCCTCTGTTTGTTTGGGGGAATGTAACCCCAAGGTTGAGCCCTATTCGGTTGGGTATTTACAATGGTTAAGTGCCCTCTGGTAAAGTAATTATCGAGGGACATGTCGCGGTTTAATTATGTTTTTGGATTATCCAAGTGGGCAATCTAAAGTAAATTCGAGGATAAAACGGCTTAAAATTCATTGTTTGCTAGAACTTTAAGTACTTGAACTGACCGAATAAAACTAAGAACGTAAACATTATAATAATTATTTTCAGAACCTTTTCCTAAGAATTAGTATCTACATTTTATTGTATGATCTGCATGAGATCATTGTTATATTCCGCAATACAGAACCCATCCCTTATCTGCATCAACCGATTCCTGATTTATTTCTGTCGGTTCCACCTGGAATGATCAATAAGCATACTACGCAAATGATCACTGTCAACCGGCATTCTATTTTATTAAATGATGCAACCTCCCCCTGCGACTTTTAAATGAGCCAATTGCATTCCAAATTGTCACACGTGCATTTGCAAGTAATTGGAATCGATCAAATGATATAATCCATTGTTTTAGGTACCCCCATACAGAAGGCATGTATGTAATTAGAGGCTAAGTACAAAAGCGTTAAATGGCGCCTCGGGGGCACTGGATTGTGCACCCCGGCAAACAATCGAACGACTGCCAAAGTTCCAACAGAGTCATTGTGAAAATAACTATTAACAAGATAATGTTGGACAGGTAGCAACAAACAAATTAGTTACTCCCCCAGACATGTGTTTGCATGGATATCCAAATACTATATGTATCTCCCAGTTGTTCCACTTGCCACAGCCGCTAAATGTTCATTTCCTCAATTTGATTTCATTTTTATTCGAAATGGGAGGTAAGTGGAGGGTGGTGGGTAGTGGATTGTGGGAGGTTGAGGGCCTTGGAACAGGGGCTCGAACACGAGATAACAAAAGATAAGCGGAGATATAGATATAGGCATTGGAAACCCAAGTTTGTTTTTTGTTGCTGTAGTTGCTAGGGGATAAAGAAGATAACGAAGTGATCCTCTAGATAAAATATGGTGTGATTTAGGTGGCATATGACATTATGTTTTGGAGGGTGGGTCCACTCAAAGTAAATAAAAAACACAAGGATTCAAATTTATTGGTATGATATTTAATGGTATTTTAACTCAAAATATAGAAAACAAACTCAGTTCTACTCCAATAAAATTGGTTTAAATACTTAAAAAAAATTCCCCTTTTATTACTTTCAAAAACATTTGATTACCCTGGAATCCGGGCTTTGTTTTCTTGGGTAAAATCCAGATCGTAAATCTGCGACAACAGTTGACAGCTCGATGGTCAATTAGATCAATGCAACATCTCATTCCATCAATTGAAAATATCAACAAAAGGCTGAGCCCGCAATATTATTCGGGACCAATAACATTGGTTTTTTGTTTTGATTTGCCATCAGGTGCATTAATTCTGTTTGTTTGTTTGAATTTTCGTTTGGGCCATTGCCTTGCATACAAATTAAATTTGGCAACAAAAACCATTTGTACTTAGCCTTTTGCGTGGTTGTTGAAATGGAATCAAAACATACTTCCTATGCAGGTCCCTGGCCTGTTTTCAAAGCAGTTAACAGCACCTATCTAATGTTTTTAACCATTTCAGACACGACGACAAGGTCGCCGATGCCCCTGGAATTTCTAATTTACAAGGGAACACACACAAAATGAGCTGATTTATTTTAAAATTCTATCAATATTGTGTTTGTCTATCACTGGGCCACAGACGAAGTGTGCATTTAATAGTTTATTACTTTGTTGTCGCTGGCAATTAGCTATTGCCTATGAGCCATATTTGAACACATTTCAAACGCGCTAAAAGCAGACACCTGATAAGCAGACAGAGATGACTAGACACAACCCCTATCGCTATCTCATCGAATGGGAATTGGACAGGTCCGCTGATAAGGACTATTTTCAAAACAATATCGAAAACAACCCGTCGTCGGGTGGGTTTAAATACCATCGCTAGGCGGGGGATTTGATGGGTGATGTTGATAGCAGAATATGTTGCTACCGGCAAATGTTGCTAGGTGAAATAGGTAAATTTAGATTCTAGTTCTATAGAACTTCGACTTTAGTGAAATTTTTTATCTTCCCCTAAAAACCTAGGATTATTTAATAGGCATGTTAAAAATTCCCTAATTCTGTAGATTAAATAACATGATTTATTTAAAATGTAGGGATTTTATCTTATCAATAAAATAATCTTATTAAACTACACTAAAACTTGGACTGGCTTTTCTCCGACTGACTAATGAAACTGAAATTTTCATTATGTATTTGCAGCCAAGACGGCACAGCCCTGACCACCTGTACATAACAAGTGCTGAGGCCCACGATTCAATGAAATATTCCCATTAAACTAAACAAAGAAGTGTAAGTATTTTAATTACGATTTTATGCACCACGATCTACGTGAGATCTGCGCCTATACACTTATCCATGAATGAGACGCCCAGCGAAGCACTTTCCCTGCATCCTCACCAGAAACGTGATCAACTGGGACATGTGCGATTTTGTTGATGATATATAAACCCATTAAAATAATACCCAAATTGATATTAATGCTGATTACTAAAGACCCACTTCAATTACACTTAATGACTCGACTTTGTAAAAATAAAATTGAATAAAATATATAAACATACAGTTGCGGTCGAAATTATAGTTTTTATAAATGTTGTACTGTTTATTTTGTTGGAAAATTTAAAATGTGAGTTTAAAAAAGAAACTATACTCGCATTGTTTGAAACATTAGTTAAAATTGTATCTTTTTTTTTATGGATAATACGTACAATATTGTATAAAGCCTATTTCTCTCAACAACTTCTATTAATTTGACCCCTTCCGTTTGCTTACATTTTCCACAACTAACGGGTAGATAATTGTTTATAATATTGGGAACGCGGCTGGGTTCTTCAGAACATAAACCAAGGCCCGGATCAATTTGCATTTAATTAGCTTGCAGTGAGAATTTGTTTTTAGCTCAATCTCAGTCGTAGACAGATATAACCCTTAATTAGCATTAATTTCGATCGAACTTATTTTTATACCCCGCAGGCAGATGGCGTTATTTTAGCTTTAGTAATATTTTCGGGTAATATTTTTTCACATCGGTGCCAAGAGGCGCGAGGCGTCTTAATAATCACTTGCTAAATGGATTCACAGTCTGCTTGCTAACGAATCAGTCATCAGTATATATCCACACATATCCAAAAGTGCGGCATTAAGGCGTGTTTTCGATTCCTGGACCCAGATACGCAGTCGAAAATATCTCACAAGGCCAAAAACCCTCTTATCAGTATAGCCCCTTCGTATAAATGTGGGATTTTGGCTTAGAACTGGAAATTTACCGTCTCTTGGTCTTTGATAAGCGGAAAACGTGCGGGTTCCTTGTACGCTGCCTATTTATAGCCGCTCCACTTTAAATTGCTTTTGGAAAATCTGGCTTTTCCTATTTTATTATTATTATTATTGTTCACACAAAGCACACACGCACGTACATTAAAATATTTTCAGGCACACGCGCTGATTTTTTCGGGAGCGAATTTGGGAGCGGTGCTTACTGCAGCACGGCTCAAAAACGAATGATCGCAAAAGTCGACGCGAAATATATGGCAAACTAAACGAGAGGCAAACTATTATTTGGCTAGCCGAATTTGTAATACTCTTTCTCAGTTATCACTAAAAATGCAAGATCTTTGTTTTTCTAAAAAACCTGATAAGGGAACCTTTTTTCTTAAACGTAGTTAGAATATAAATTGCTTTAAATAAAATATTAATTCAAATGTTATTAAGGGGGTATGTCTTCTAACCGTTAAGACAAAATTTGAACGATAAAAATCTAGACTACATGGTCTTAATTTGAGAAATTTTATTCTTGTATTACTTATTTAAGGAGAAAAGTTCTTGATATCAAAATAATCGTGCATTCGAGTGTTTTTTCAAGGTTTTGAAATAGAGACGATTTTGTTTTTTGAGACAAAAGATGAACATTTAATCGATTTGCCTTACTTTGAGATCGAGAGAAGTGTTGTTTCTGAGTGTGTGAAAAGTCATGATAACCTTTGTAAGGGTATAAAACGCCAGAGAGGTGGTCGAAAAAAAGCAACAATAGCAATGACCACAGCCGGCAAAACAAAGCGAAATGCCTGCAAATTGAAAGTGAGCGTAAACTGCACATGTGTGTGTTAGCAGAGGGTGGGGAGGGCTGCCATAGAGATAACGCCAGAGAGGGAGAAAGCAACAGCGATACTGTGTGTGGGTGGAAAAAGTGCGTGAGCAGGTTGAAAATAATCAGCTGATAGAGAAAAAAGAGAGGAAGAAAGAAGGGGAGAGGGTATATAGGTGTATAAAAAGAGCAGGTAAGTTTGTAATTTCGCGAGAGCAAGATAAGGAGAACATAAGAGCTTGTTTGTACATGTTTAAATTCATATGTATTGACGTTATCTTATTATGGGGCAGCAACAATGTTCTTATGTTCCTTACATGTTTGTACATTGTACATATGTATATTAACTAATCACTGCGGAATTATGTACATACACACATCCACAACTGTCAAACGCACTGATCTAGCGTATCAAACACACAACTAAACACAATAAAATTGCTCTATAAATTAAAGTATTTTTAGACAGGGTGATTCAATATGAATATTTTGAACTACATTTTATATTGATTTTTACAAACATACAAACTAAGATACATTTCCAAATAAATTAAACAAAAGCAAACCTGAAATGTTAAAACTTTTTGGTTCTAATTACGACGACATTTTACTAGAGCTGATATTTCTTTTGACCGCAACAATGTGTATCCATATCAATTATTTTACCACAAGCTCACTTGTTCAACCGCTTATCGGGTGTTGATAAGACGGCACTTAATCCCTGGTTGACAGATTTTGAACAGATAACACTTTCAAGGTGCGTTGCTCTCGGGTTTGCAGCTCGGGGGCGACTGCAAACTGAATTCTTTGTCCACCGAATCCAAGCCGTGCCGAATTAAACGATCCGGGGGCCTGCAAATTGCAATTAAACCACGCACATTAGATAAAAAGTTGGCGGTATGACTGCCAAGGCAGTTTCATTCCAACTGGGACACGGTTAGCTTATGTCTTATTTGTCGAAAATATTCATAAATTAAGAGCAAGGTGGCAGAATTGTTAATCTATCAACTTTAGTGGCCGCTTAGCAAATGATTAAATAAGATAACCATAACAAGGTCGGTAATGTCTTAATAAAAAACCCGTAAGGTTTTCACAATGTTCGGAATCTGCTCTATATTACAAATAATTTACTACTCTTATTAAAATTTTTGTGACTTTTTTTTTACATAAAGTTTTTGGTTCTGGAAGACTTTTTGTTAGGGCGAGTACTAGGCCTAAAGTAAACCAATAGTTGTAAATTTTTAAAATTAATTATATTTCATTTTTTTTAAAAAGGTTTTTATATTTTAAAAAATCCAGCAAAAAGATCGTTACTTCTCAAATCGTATATTTTTCTGCAGTCTGGCAACGCTGTTTAATTGACAGCACGTCTCTCCTGTTTGGTATTTTTTCAGTATTACACATCAAACTGTGGTATATTTTATTGGTCGAGAAGGGGTCACACTGGCTGGGAGCAAATTAAATAAAATAGAATAGGATTTTAAGCGTATAATTTACCCTATCGAGTTGGTCCATTGCGCCGGTACGAAATGGCCGCCATAGTACTAACCCGCAATCTCCAGCTGGCCAGTGAGTACCGTCGCCTGCGGCCGAAAACCGCCTGGCAAACAAATTATGTAATATTACGTTTTGCACCAATGTTGTGGCTAATTTTTGCTTAATTCTCGGTCAATTTCCGGATCTTAAGAGCACCATGGCAGTGGCGTGGTGGGTGTTTTGTGCCTGCGTGGATACTCCGCCGCTGCTGCTCCCCCGGAGGATGGTCCTCGTCCCCTGAAGACCACGAATCCGGCTGCCATGAAGCGCGGAACTGGCGGACGAAGCAGTTTCAATGGTATTGTAGCCACCGTTTTCGGAGCCACCGGCTTTGTGGGTCGCTATGTGTGCAACAAACTGGGCAAATCCGGCAGCCAGATGATCCTGCCTTACCGCGGTGACGATTCGGATGTAATCCGCCTAAAGGTCACTGGAGATCTAGGCCAGGTTCTCTTCCATTTCTACAACCTGGAGGATCCCGCCTCCATTCGCGAAGCCGTCAAGCACTCGAACGTGGTCATCAACCTGGTGGGCAGGGACTTTGAGACCAAGAACTTCAAGTTCAAGGATGTCCATGTCAACGGAGCTGAGCGGATCGCCAGGTGAATATCATAAGCCAGCAGTAGTGGGTCATCAAAACCGTATGGATAATAATCCTGACAATCAGGCGAATAATATAATAATTGTAACGTGTGATGGCCAATAATGTTATACCATCTTGATGGTTTCAAATCATAACATCATTTTCACAAGAGACAAATCCAAACGAAATGTTCTTTGTTTTTTCCAGAATTGCCCGCGAGGCTGGCGTCGAGCGCTTCATCCACCTGTCCTCTCTGAACGTGGAGGCCAATCCTAAGGACCTGTTCGTCAAGGGCGGCAGCGAGTGGCTGAAGAGCAAGTACGAGGGTGAGCTGCGCGTGCGGGACGCCTTCCCCAACGCCACGATCATCCGTCCCGCGGATATTTACGGCTCTGAGGATCGCTTCTTGCGTTACTACGCCCACATTTGGCGCCGTCAGTTCCGATCGATGCCACTGTGGCACAAGGGTGAGAAGACGGTGAAGCAGCCCGTCTACGTTTCGGACGTGGCCCAGGCCATTATCAACGCCGCCAAGGATCCGGACAGTGCTGGACGCATCTACCAGGCTGTGGGGTAAGTCGTTCTCAGCATTACATGAGGGTATGTTATAATTTTTGATATATTTTTCAGACCCAAACGCTACCAGCTGAGTGAGTTGGTCGACTGGTTCCATCGTCTGATGCGCAAGGACCAGAAGCGCTGGGGCTACATGCGCTACGACATGCGCTGGGACCCCACCTTCCTGCTGAAGGCCAAGCTGAACAGCTTCATCTGCCCCGGCACCCCCATCGGAGGTCTGCATCCAGCTCGCATCGAGCGCGAGGCCGTCACCGATAAGGTTCTGACCGGAGTGCCCACGCTGGAGGATCTGGGCGTCACGCTGACCACCATGGAGCAGCAGGTGCCATGGGAACTGCGTCCCTACCGCGCTGCCCTCTACTACGACGCTGAGTTGGGCGAATTCGAGACTCCATCGCCGCCCAAGTGCATCGAGGCGCGCGACGAGCTGCGTCTTTTTGCCTAGGCGAAATGAGGCAATTGTCTGTGTTGATTGGAAATTTTTAGTTGGAATTGTTTAAGGCGATGCGTCAATAAAGAGAAGTCGAAAGATTTAGAGGGCTTGTTCTAAGTTCGTTGGTAGTACTTTTTAGCTGACTATACTTCTACCATAGGCGCAAAAAAAAATATTTATTATGTTCAAAGAACTCTTGTGAAAAGCATACTCAAAGTATATAGGATAACAACTTCATTAATAAGATAATAACGTTTTGGAGATCATACCGAAGATCTTATTGAGCTAATAAAATGATTACCAAGTTTTAAAAATAAAATTTAAGACAATTGTTTATGAATCGCTTTAAAATAAACTTTTCTACATTATTCGAAATATCTTAAGGAAAATATACAATTTATATACTTGTAAAGTTAAAAAAAAATTAATAAATTTAAAATTTAAAAAAGCCGAAAAGGTAATGACATAAGATAAGTTGGCAGCCCTGCAATGATTTAGTATTTTCCGGTCGGACACCCATGTGGCAACGCCCCGGCGACGAAACCAAAACAAATGACAGTCACCGTCCGGCAACGCCTCTCCGATTTTTCTTCCTTTGCGACCAAGGAGCTTTTCTGCAGCCAGCAGTTTCCCCCGAAACTTACGCCCGTGCAGATTTATGGCCGGAAAATCATAGTACGGAAAATTCGATTTCTCAACCTTTTCCTGTGTGTGTGTGTGAAGATTTTTAACTTTTCAGCTTGGTTAAACGGAGAAAAAAAACGAAAACAACAACACAAGCGCGGGCCCGCCTCTCTTTTCGCGTTTTTGTGCGTGTGTGCGTGAGAGTGAGTGTGATAATTATGGCATAAGTGCATAAAAATTATGATAGCAGAATTCCCACGGCCGACGACGAATGTGAATTGTGACAATCGGAAAAGCGGGGAGAGCAAGGAGGCGGAAAATTCGCCGAACGAGAGCCAAGGCGTGAAATCGATCAGCTGTGACGTCGGCAGAGGCAGAAAGTTTGGCCAAAAGAAAAGGTCAAAGCAGCAACAACAAAAGGGTGGCGAAGAAGAGGAGGGAGAGCAGAAGGAAGAGGACCAGCGACAGCAACAACAACAACAACAAGTAAGAGAGAATAAGAAGCTCTGTCAAAAGCAAGGGGTAAAGGATAAGAAGAAGAAGCAGCCAGGTGAGAAGGATAAGAAGAAGCAGCGGCAGCAAAGGGCAAACAAGAAGAAGCAGCAGCAGCAGCCGCCCCCCGTACACAGCAAAAAAAGCCTTGTCTTATTTTTAGA